CATGCACAACAGAACCGACAATGCCCTCTTGAGCAGAAGAAATGAGCACCTGCTCCTCAACAAAAAAGGTATTCGACCAATGCGAGTAGCTGCAAGGAGATAGAGAGAGCTTATGGTAATTATTGCTCCCACCGACTTTTTGCTTCTATTTTAAGTGCTGAATGGTTAGATGAGGATGATGTTGACTTGTCTGGTATATCAGTGCCACAAGGTGAAAGTGATCAATCAGCTGCTATAGACTATGCCCACCAGGGGCGTCATTTCATCTTTTTTCAAGGGGGGGGGGGAACCAAAACTTGGTCGGCTCGTTAAGTTGTTTATTACTGGGGGGCGCCACAGTACATAGCAATTTAAATAAAACCTGCAAATTAGAGGGTGGGGGGTAAATGCTCCTTGCCCTACCCTAATGATGTCCATGATGCCAATTGTTACGATATAGCACACCTGGATTCTCCTTGGGAAGATTATAGCACCTAGAACCTATGCTCTAATTGTCAGCTTTACTGACAATAATCATATTTATACCACAAACAATGATATTTAGTCTGTGCCAACCTTTCAATTGATTCGGCATGGAAGACCCCCTAATAATATATTATATAAATGATGGATCAATGAATGTATTAAAATTTTAGAATGAGTGGTAATAAATATTTAAGTAGGACCGATATGATCCGTATTTATTTATTATTCCGCCGGAGATGCCAACCCAATTTAAAGTATTCATATTTTTTTCTTTTTTTTTTTTTTTCTTTAAATCAAGAAACGTTTTTTTTTTTTTTTTTTACCGCCACATATTTCAGTTTTAATTTTTTCTAACTGTAGCTTAAATTGATAAACTCAAGGAAATTCGGGTCTTCAGGACAAAAACCTTTTTGGTTGCTTTTTTGTGTTTGTTTGTTTGTTTTCTTATTTTGTTTTGTTTTTTAGTTTTTTGGGAGTCGTATAAAGAAGGAGTGGCAGAAGTGTGTGAGAGTCATAGCTCTGTGGTGTGAGTCGGTGCGCACATGTGTGACCGCACCATTTCCTACAGGGTTGCTATGCTACTAACTTGTCAGCTCACGATTAAGGCAAGCGAGCTGTTAAACACATGATGGCTGGTGGAATTGATTTTTGTAGATCTTGCCAGCAAATCATAAACGACAACAGTAACACCCACTTGACCCGTGGTGATGAAACATGTAGGCCCTGTTTTTCTTTTCTTTTTTCTTCTTGTTGTTTGGACCAGTAGCAAGTGCTCTCACAAATCTCACGACTTACATTGCAACAGTCTCCCCAACAGTTCACCCGGTTGAGAATCTCAGGAAAAAAAAATCAGCAGTGAGAATGAACCTTAAGTATTTTATTAAATTGGAATACATCAAAGAAAAGATACAGCCTCGTCTGAGACGGAGTACCTCCCTGGTTGTGTTATACGTCGTTTGAAACATGAAGTCTCTAAGTAGGTCATACGGTGTAGCTTTAATCTGGGGTACACGCTAAAAACAAGTTATGACGTCAATCAAGGAAAGCCAGTGAAAGACAGGAAGGTGGTTGAAAGTGATAAAGAGGCTTGTTACGTCATGACCTAGTTACGACATGACCTAGTGAAATGGGAAGGGGTGGTATCTAGCAGAGCAGAGGTTCTCAATTTACTGGTTTAATGTATTTCATAAACTTATAGTAAAAAGTACTCAGTTCAGTAGTGAGAGTAGGGAGAGTAGTGTAGGCATGATATATTTTAAAACACACGTGCAGGCCAACTATTTAACACATTTTTCTCTCTTTCTTTAACACTTTTTTTCTCTCTTATTTAAAATTTTTTTTAACTCTTATTTAAAACACATTTTTTTTCTCTCATATTTTTCGTTCTTATTTTAACACTTTGTTTGCACCATATCAATAGGCCTAACTAAGGCCGGATTCAGACGTGTGGGGGGCCGTCCATAAAGTACGCCACGCTATTTTTGACCATTTTTTACGTCACACTTTCGAACAATTTTTTTTTTTTTTTTAAATTAACACATTATTAAAATTTAATGTAAAACACACTTCACTATTAAACTGTATTAGAATATAAAATTTCCACTTAAAAGGACTATTACATTATTTAAATGACTTTAACTTTCATAGTAGAATAGTTAATTGTCAGCAGTTGTCACGGTTACTCATTGAAGAAGTAACTCAATCTAGATTGAATTTGATAACAAAAATTGCAAAAATTAGACTAGACAATAATTATATAATACACATTATTTATCTACTGCTTTTTCCATTTACAATAGGCGAGGTCAAGTTTTAGATAATCTTCCGATTATGCAATATTTTTACATAGGATAAGAAGTAGATTAGCGAAACTTGATTTCAACCAGGGATTAAACAATCAAAAGGAAACAAAACAATATTGACTGAAAAAAAGACTAGATTGACAAATGATGTGACAAACTCTTGGGCTATATTGAATCTGTTTTTTATGCCGGGCCTGTGAATTATGTTTAATTCAAAAATATTCACTGGACATCATCCATCCATGGTGAAGTGAAGTGTTCATCCCTAGTTACGACTGGCATCAATCTTTCACCATCATCGTTTCCTGGAAGGATAATTGCAGAAAGATCAACTTCATCCTCATCTAGCCACTCAACATCCTCTGAATGTGCATTTTCTCTTCTAGCAATAACTGCCATGAGTTCTCTTTGCCTTCTAGCAGCGATTCTCAAAGGACAATTGCGTTTCATCTGAGTTGATTCTAGAACAGTTTGGGTTGGCAGAGGCATGTCTCTTCAACATTGTTTGTGAGGCAAAGTATAAGTGACAACACATTTAGGAGATACGCATTTCATGCTATTTTGACATAAAACTAATTCAAATGTTTCAGAACATTTTTGAAAATTATTTTTAAAGCTATTAAATTCTACTAAAAAAATTTAATTAGAAATAAAATTTAAAAAAATGAATGTGGGACGTCATTGACCCCCCTCCCCCTGTCACAAACTGTCACACTTTCTTACACCCCCTCCCCCCCCCCCGAGCGTGACGTACTTTATGGACAGCCCCCGTTGACACCTTAAGCCTAACTCCGTAATAGCTAGTGGACCTATAAAATTTGATGTCCTAGGCTTGGATTGGAGACCATAAAAAGTAATGTCATAGAAAAGTGTAAAGCTTAAACACATAAATTGTGTTCAAAGATATTCAGCAGGCTGCTACATCTATAATCAGCGACACTACGCCCTCATAATTTAAGTGATTGAGTTATTTTCAGGAGTATTCATGTACTGAGTACAACATGTATTCATCCTTTTGTGTTCTTGGTTGCGGTCAAGTGGACACGTGACTTTTTCATGCCCCCTGCCACAAGCAGGCGTGACTTTTAGGATGCCCCCCACCTCAAGCGGGCGTGACTTTTGGATCCCCATTCCTCAAGCGGACACGTGACATTTGGATGCCTCATTCCACATTTCATTTTTGGTGTTACATGCATTAAAATTTGATCGTTTCAATGTGTTTCCACACCACACCATAGTCGTACAGCCGCAGCGCTATCCGAGGACGAAGGATAACGGAGGAGTTGCCGGCCCCGTTGAACGGCGTTGGTTACCTTGATCATCTAAAAAATTACATTCATTCACTGCGCCAACTGGCAGGTAAACGAAAAAAGTACCAGATAGGTGTACACTATGCATGACAAAATGGTCTGCGTCACGTACACGTGAAGGCAGGCAAGTCTGGACAAATTTTAAAGCGGTCCCCATCTAAGGTGGAAAATGGTCCCTAGAAAATGCTTTTTGAAAATTAGTCTGCTTCTATAAATGGGGTAGGCCTTCTGGTTTCAGCCGTGCGAAGGATATATTTGACCAATATATTATAATTAGGCGTGAAATCAAAAGACTGGACAGTACTAAATGCCTTCTTCAGCAGACTAAACAAGAAAGCAATTCCCTAATTGGTGGTCCGTGGACTGGCACCGGTCCCCGAGCCTTACTTTGTCGGTCCCCGAGCCTTACTTTATCGGTCTGTGAGCCTTACTTTGTCGGTCTGTGAGTCTTACTTTGCCAGTCTGTGACCCTTACTTTACCCATCCCCGTGCCTTACTTTGTCGGTCCCCGAGCCTTACTTTATCGGTCTGTGAGCCTTACTTTGTCGGTCTGTGAGTCTTACTTTGCCAGTCTGTGACCCTTACTTTACCCGTCCCCGAGCCTTACTTTGTCGGTCTGCGAGCCTTATTCTGTCGGTCTGCAAGCCTTACTTTACCGGTCAGTGAGCCTTACTTTGTCGGTCTTGGAGCCTTACTTTGTCGGTCCGCGAGCCTTACTTTGCCGGTAAAAAGCATTAATATTCTAAAAAATAGAAAATATATTTAAATAATCTGGCGCCGGTCTCAATTTGCCGGTTGCAAATTCGACAGACCACCGGTCCGGCAAACATGCACGCTTGGGAAACGCCGAGTTAGAAGATACGAATGAACCAAGGGCTCTCTACGTTTATAAACATAATGGACTGTCACTTAGTACGATCCATAAAGTACGCCAGGCTCCAGATGGGGGTTGGATGTGGGGGGTCTAAGAAAGTGTGCCTGTTTGTCACAAATTTTTTAATAGATTGTATTTTTACAGAAGATTTGACTTTGATCCATTTAATAGTTTAATAGGAAGTGTAGATTAAATTTAAATTACTTGTTAATGTTTTAATCAATTTTCTAATTTGAAAGTGTGACGTAGACGTAGGCGTAGGGCCTACTTTAGGGACGGCTCCTTATGACTAACTTGTAAAAATAGTTTAAAGATATTGACTTAAATAATAAATAACTCAATGAAAGTGAAAGCTCATACAGCAGTTACCTTTTAAAATTAAAATGCACCGAACATTTAAGAATTATTTGTGAATCACCCAATTGAGATCTAATGTCAGGTGTTCATTTTATTGTTTAAATTATTTTTAAAATAGCAATAACTTCGTTAAAAATAGAAAGTCGTTAATTTTAACTATTTTGTTTTCGATTAAAAATAATACCGGAAATGTATAAGTCATAAACAAACCGTAACTAGTGATAATTTAGAATGAAATAATTCACATATTTATTGATACTATTACTGTTATGTCTATACACGATATCCATTCCTGTTCCAAGGTAGAATTTATTTATTTAAACATTTATATCGAAGAAGCTATTCGGACCCTGAGAAGAGTGAGAGGTTGGGTTTATTAAAAAAATATTTTAAATTATTGTTGTAGGGTTGTGACAGTTTAAATTTAACGGAGTTTTGTTATCTGAGTCAGTTTATTCTGAGTCTGGGTATTCAAATCTGAAAGACAAAGTAACTTCAAAGTTCAAACACTGAACTAAATGCTATTCAGATGTCATTTGTGGTAGTTTATTTTAAAGTAAATTTAGAAACATATAATCCATTCAATTATCTTTTTTGGTACCAAATTTTGCTTAAAAAACTAACAATAATATTTTAATTTTTTTAATAAACCCAACCTCTAACTCTTTTCCGAGTCTGAATCCCGGGTCCAAATACCCCAGCCAAGGCCGGCTCAAAGCGGGTACATAACACAAGCACCAAGGCGCCCAAACGGACGAATGCGGCAAAATTTGTTTCTGAAAAAATTTCTGAACTCTTCCCATAATTTTCCAGAGGGCGGACAATTGCTTATTTTCACCCAACCTAAAATGTCTAGCGCCAGCCCTGGCTGCAGCATTTTATAATAGATATGGTCACTGCATGTTTATCAAAGGCTGTTAATGTGCTCCGAACTGAATAGTTGTTTAATTATATTATTGTTTAATTTATAATGAAACACAAAAACTGCAGATACAATAACAAAAATAAGAATAAGAAAGCCCAATCTCAAACTTAAAACATGCAAACAAGTTTAACATACCATTTTATGGTATGGGTCTTTAAGAACTATGTACTTACTTAATTTTTTTAAAAAGTTGTTATAATTTTTACATGAGGAAATTAAGATAAAATTTGAATTAAGTTTTGAGGCTGTAAATTATATTAAAAATTTAGTTTAAAGGATTTATTTGGTAAGCCTACTACTAACTGGCGTAACTTAATAAAATGAAGTCAGTCTTCAATTCTAGTTTTCTAAACTAGATTATAGTATAGATGATTCATTTTCAAGATAAATTCATTTAAGATTTAATGGCCAGCTATTCAAAGTTAAAATAATATACTTATTAGGTTATTACAAAAGGTTTTAACAGGAACAAAAAAAGTGAAAGAAAATGATCACTGTTATTGTAGCAGTAACCGTGAAAAAATATGTTTGCTTAATTATGAATTTATCAGTACTACAAAAAGTGAAAGGATATTTTTTGCTGGCAATGTGATTATACCAGTAACACCAACAGTGAAAGAACGTGGTTGCTGGCACTGTGATTGTCTTTGCTTTCAGATTTTGTCCCAGAACATAGATTTAAAGCAGAAGTTGCTGTCAGTAAAAAGAAAGAAAGATGAACTGGAGAAGCAACTTGCATTTGTTCAAAAAGATCAACAGCAAAACACCTTCCCGAAGCCTAAATGCAAAAAGTTGGTCATGTGAAAAATATCTTATAGGCTGCTACATTTAAAATTGATTAAGTGTATCAATACATATTTAATTTTCATAAATGCTGTTTAGGGTATTTAATAATAATATAAGCCTGCATGGTTAAAATGGTGGAAACCCTGACCCCGACCCATTCCGTGCCCCCCAAACTATCATGTAGGCAAATGTAGGCTATCCAAAACACTCTTGTAAGGAAGAGCAAGTCACTCAATTCAGTGTCCTTAAATTTATCATTAAGGAAATGATTTTGAAATAAAATAAAATAAACTAATAAAATTAATTAATTTGACTTGTACTGGTGTGTATGAAGTTAAGACCATATAAAAATATCTTCTACCTCTTAGCGCTGCTGTTCAGACAGATCTAAAACCATGGCCCTTACATCGCCAGACAAGGCCAACCAAACCTGAGGCTCAAATGGTTACAGAGGCAGATATAACAAGAACAAACAAGTAGGAGTATGGCTTGTTGGTTAAACTAGTGGTAAAACTGTGTCATTTTATTCAAGGAAAACTTGGTCATTGTCTACGCAGTATTCTCAGTATCCTATGATTTATTATGTTAATCTCATTATCCTATTCTATACATCATCCCACTGCTCAGTTTTCTATATTCTCTTGTTTCTAAGTTCTTTTCTCCTCTACAATCTCCTCATCTACATAATATTCTGTCCATTTCTCTAATTTTGACCAATCCCTTCTACCTGCACTCTCTGATCATATAATTAACTAAGATTAGTTTTTCTTCTCTCAGCCTTTCATTCAATCGGCATTGAGACACATGACTGACACTCCTAATATGCAAAACTGCGATTCTTATAGAGACCACATATGAATGCCACGCCTGAAGCATGTCTTCTATAATAAAATGTAAATTATAAGAGCAATTTAATTTTTTTTTTTTTTTGGTGTCATTGATGCTAAAACTATTGAATATTTCTAATTTGGTTAGAGTGCTAGACATGCATTCTCAGCTACTGAAGAGATATGATAAAGAAGTCAAACTCAACATGAGCTATGCTGACACCATTTCTGAGTTGAATGTAAGTCTTTGTTGAATGTGTTGAGTTATGATTAAGAACTCTGTGTGTTACTGACATTAAAAACCTGCTTTGGAACTTTTAAAGAATCTAAATAAATGAACTATAAAAACAATTATAAAAATGATAAAAAAGCTACTCATTTCTGAATATAATTAGAACTAATTACAATGAGTCTGATTTAACTCATTTAATTACACCTCAGAGCACTGTGAGTATGCTAAAATAGTATGGATACAAGCGCTATAAAAGTATTGAATCATCATTATCATCTTGTAATTTTCTTGCTGTTCATTCAGTAATTGTTCAAACCAGATCATCACCTTTTATTTTGATTGAGAGGCAAACCATACATGCCTAACAGTGGGAGCATAAAATCTATGAAAACTCTGCAAAAAAATAAAAAGTACAACTGCATAAAAAAACTGCTTCCTGTTGACCAACATTGAATTGCATTTCCAAAAGTGTGTCATCTCTGTCGTGTGCAGCAATATTTCTTTTCAGTGAAAAACCTTACAGAATCCTGTACGTCCACACAATAAAAAAAATATTCTAAAACCCTTACAAAATATGGGTAAACTGTATATGTTGGCATGTATGTTGGCATGTATGTTGGCATGTATGGTTAAACATTATTGCCTAACAACTTTCATTGACCTCGAGTAGTTATGGAGTTCATGTGATACTTGCTGTCAGTGGCTTATGGAGTTCATGTGATGCTGCTGTCAGTGGCTTATGGAGTTCATGTGATGCTTGCTGTCAGTGGCTTATGGAGTTCATGTGATGCTTGCTGTCAGTGGCTTATGGAGTTCATGTGATGCTTGCTGTCAGTGGCTTATGGAGTTCATGTGATGCTGCTGTCAGTGGCTTATGGCATTCATGTGATACTTGCTGTCAGTGGCTTATGGAGTTCATGTGATGCTTGCTGTCAGTGGCTTATGGAGTTCATGTGATGCTGCTGTCAGTGGCTTATGGAGTTCATGTGATGCTTGCTGTCAGTGGCTTATGGAGTTCATGTGATGCTGCTATCAGTGGCTTATGGAGTTCATGTGATGCTTGCTGTCAGTGGCTTATGGAGTTCATGNTTTTGGGGTTCGTGGGCTGCTTGCTGTCAGTGGCTTTTGGAGTTCATGTGATGCTTGCTGTCAGTGGCTTTAAGAGTTCATGTGATGCTTGCTGTCAGTGGCTTATGGAGTTCATGTGATGCTTGCTGTCAGTGGCTTTAAGAGTTCATGTGATGCTTGCTGTCAGTGGCTTGTGGAGTTCATGTGATGCTGCTGTCAGTGGCTTATGGAGTTCATGTGATACTTGCTGTCAGTGGCTTTAAGAGTTCATGTGATGCTGCTGTCAGTGGCTTGTGGAGTTCATGTGATGCTGCTGTCAGTGGCTTATGCTGCCAGGTGTTTAGAGTCTGATTTGTTAAACGTGTGACAACAAAACTATATCTTTTACACAAGATTTCTTGTTTCATTTATAACGTGTTTATCAAATTCAGTTGAGACTGGGAGAAACAGAGCAGAAGTTGGGAGAAGAAAAGGAGAAGAGCATCCAGTTTCAAAGGGAGTTAATAGTAGCACGAGGACAGGGAAGTAAAAGTGGTAAGCATTGCGGTGGCAAGAAAGGGGGAAATTTAAATCTAAACAACAACACAGCATACAAAAGATTGCTCTTGTAAATATGAAGAACAACTGATTTTTATCATAGGTATATGGTCATGTCATGTGAGCTTAGTAATGCAAGACTAATAATTAAAGTGTCTTACAAGACAAATAATTAAAATGTCTGGCAAGACTAATAATTAAAATGTCTTGCAAGACAATAATTAAAATGTCTGGCAAGACTAATAATTAAAATGTCTTTTAAGACAATAATTAAAATGTCGGTAAGACTAATAATTAAAATGTCTGGTAAGACTGTATCAAGTTCTTAAACAAAGTTCTTTTTAGAAGTCAAAACACAAAAACAGAATTCATAACAAGACAAATATTAAGTTGTCAAAACATAAGAGTTGAAGACTTACTTGCTATTGCCTTCCATGTTGAGTAAGGAAAGTTGTTTTTATGTTGCTTTGTTTCCCAAGCTGAAGATCCAGTGCTGAGAGATGTGGTCAAAGAAAGAAATAAGCTGGCCAAAGAAAACCACAAACTGAAGAGTGAGCTGAAGGGCTTGGACCATGTAAGTAAGATTGCACCTTGTAAGTAAGATTGGACTATATAAGTAACATTGGAACAAGGAATTAATATTGGACCATGTAAGTAATATTGGACCTTGTAAGTGATATGAAATCTCATACAATTTAGAGTGGAGGATATTTATAACAGTAAGCGCCTAATTTCAGTGCATCATCAGAAAAGGTAAATCAGAGATTTAATATAATTTGTGCTGTTCCCTTCTCCCCCACTCCCAGTAAGCATGGAGCGGCAGAAGACACAAGTCTAATGAGAATCTCAATTTTCTAGTTTGAATTATTGTATTGCAGCTGAGTTCATTTAACAGGTGCGGGGTGGGGCATACTTAACTCATTTGACACAAATTTGTTGACATTCCATAAAAAATGCAACATTTATTTGAAACTATCTAGATTTACATGGCATTCATATCAAGAGAATATTTTTCAGCAGATGATTATCAGATTAATTAGCAAAATGGAGAGATGATCTGGAAATGAATAGCCGCAACCCTACTTGTGACCATTGATATATTTATCTGGCACTAATTGGTGCAACCCTACTTGTGACCATTGATATCTGGCAATAATTGGTGCAACCCTACTTGTGACCAATTGATATATTTATCTGGCAATAATTGGTGCAACCCTACTTGTGACCATTGATATCTGGCAATAATTGGTGCAACCCTACTTGTGACCAATTGCTATATTTATCTGGCAATAATTGGTGCAACCCTACTAGCGACTATTGATATATTTATTGACCCCATGGTCAATGTTGACAAATTCATAATTTAGAATATTCTAATTTATGATGTACAATAGACCCAAAAAGTTGCTACAGTGATATAAACAGCATTATTAATGTGTGCTACTTGTTAACTTGACATAAATGTTAACATTTGGGCCGATTCTCGAATTAAATTTTAACATTAACGTTTTTTTTTCAGAACTTTTTTGATGAAATTGAAGATTTGAAATTTGCGCTTCTTCAGTCTTCAAAATTAAACAATGAATATGAGAAAACTCTGCAGAGAATGTGTTCACAATTTGGAGTTCCCTACCCTAACCCAGAGAAAATTTTAACCAAAAGATGACAGCTTAACAAGTAACATGATCATTGAATGATTGACCTAGCAAGATTGAAATGTTTACAGTAACCTGATTATTGAATGATTGACCTGGCAAGATTGAAATGTTGACAGTAGAAATATTTGATATCAGCCAAACTTCTGTTAGAAGTCAATTTATTTTGACTTAAGTTTTTAACATTTTAAAAACTGTGTTTGTTCATTAATTTTTCTGTGAGTGATGTCAAAGAATTGGACGAATCATTGCCTATTTTGTGTGAGTCATGTGCAATAATGGGGCTAATTATTTAGACTTATTAACTGGACTGATTATTTGGACTACTTAACTGGACTAATTATTTGGACTAATTAACTGGACTGATTATTTGGACTAATTAACTGGACTAATTATTTGGACTAATTAACTGGACTAATTATTTGGACTAATTAACTGGACTAATTATTTGGACCAATTAACTGGACGAATTATTTGGACCAATTAACTGGACGAATTATTTGGACTAATTAACTGGACGAATTATTTGGACTAATTAACTGGACAAATTATTTGGATCAATTAACTGGAATAATTATTTGGACTAATTAACTGGACCAATTATTTGGACCAATTAACTGGACTAATTATTTGGACTAATTAACTGGACTAATTATTCTGACTAATTAACTGGTCTAATTATTTGGACTAATTATTGCATATGTTGAGTGAGTCGTATAAAAGAATGGTACTAATTTGTTTCTACTAATTAATTGGACAAATTTATTTGACTAATTATTTATTGCCTATTTTAAGAGTTAATGCCCTAATGTTTTATTCATTTCTATAAATATTTATGGACCTGCCCTAAATAAGACATGCTCTATATAGCACATATATATATGGGACATGCTGTATATGGAAAATGCTCAATACAGGACCTGCTCTATCCAGGAGATACTAAACTCAAGTGGTGTAACTGTCTTTAAGTAATCATTGTCTCATTCATCTAATCTTACTTAAATGATTATATTATAAATGTTTACAAAGGAGAGTTATATATAATAAATTCTTTTTCTCTCTCATGTGAGACTGACATGTTCTCCTGAAATATCCAGAAAGTTGTACCATAATCTGGGCTTCTACCTGTTGACAAATGGTCGGATCATTCATAATTTACATATGTATCGTTCTTTGAATATGTATATTGTAATGAATTGAAGGCAATTTAAGTCTTTATTTTATACTCGCTATGTACTTTTGTACTATGAGCACTATGTTTTTTATAGGGCAGGTCCTCAAAATTTTGAATCAGGGGCCGGGACAATTAGAGGTTGTACAAGATTATTTTAAAATGTGAACGCACACTGCGCATATCTTGTTTGTAGTGCGAAACAATTAGAAAAAAATATATATCATTTTAAAATGAAGCACATTCAATATCAACATCAAGTTTTTATTATTTCAATTGAAAGTATGGACCTGCTTAGGGCCAAATAGTTTATCGATGTCCATATTTGTCACTGGTACTCTGGTACCTGTATGACAGCCAGATTTGGCCCGCAGGCCAGTTTGGAGACCCCTGCTATAGGGTGTAAAAATAATTTATGTATAGCTAAAACAGGAAGTTAAAGAGCTATAAAACACTGACCAGTTTGTCTGCACAGAGCTGCCGACCAGTAAGTCTGCATACATTAACTGGCCAGCGGAAGTAATATTTAACTAGACAGTTATTGCAACAGTTTCAACAAGAAAACATGCTTCAAGCTCGTTCAGACGGAGATAATATATTCATCCAGCAGACATTTATTTATTGCTAAGTTTGGGGGGTGGGGAAGATATTTCAGAAAAATTGGAGCCATATTTACAAACTAATAGTTTGTGTTATTGTTACCGTTTGTTTGTGTTATTGTTACCGTTTGTTTGTGTTATTGTTACCGTTTGTTTGTGTTATTGTTACCATTTGTTTGTGTTATTGTTACCGTTCGTTTGTGCTACCCATAGTTTAAGTTACCCATTTTTTGTGACTAAATACAAAATATCTTGATTATTTTCTTAATTTGGACTATATACTTGTTAGACTATATGATGTAATATTTTAAAAAATCAAATTTTGATAACATTTCCAATACTCCATCATGAATTCTATTTATTTCAAGTTTTTACGAGGAATAAAAATGTTTGATTGTTTCAGTTGCTTTTTGTTCTATCTTGTTGCTTGGATAAACTCTTGCATCAACGAATGGCCAGATTTTTTGGACTCATTTTCCACCTGACTGTTCTGTGGTTTAACCTGATCCAATACGGACATTTAATATATATATATATATATATATAAAAATATGATTTACTATCTGATATAGCCAGATATGGACACTTGATATATATACCCGGTATATGATATAGCCAGATATGGACAATGGATATATATATATATGGTATAGCCAGATATGAACACTGCATATATATATATATATGAACATCTGACGTCAATTATTAATGATTAATCTCTTTTATCAAAACAAAATTATAAACTTTAAAAAACACTTAAAACATGGAATAGAAGACATGAAGAAATACAAGACATGAAGAAATACAAGACATGAAGAAATACAAGACATGAAGAAATACAAGACATCAAGAAATACAAGACATGAAGAAATACAAGACATGAAGAAATACAAGACATGAAGAAATACAAGACATGAAGAAATACAAGACATCAAGAAATACAAGACATCAAGAAATACAAGACATGAAGAAATACAAGACATCAAGAAATACAAGACATCAAGAAATACAAGACATCAAGAAATAAAAGACATCAAGAAATACATGACATCAAGAAATACAAGACATCACGAAATACAAGACATCAAGAAATACAAGACATCAAGAAATACAAGACATCAAGAAATACAAGACTAATGAATGTGTCCTATTTAATCTGTATACTCAAATAACAATGTCAGAGGTATGTGTACAATTAAATGAAAAGTTCAAACAAAAGTACGTGAAGTTCTTGTAATGTGAGATAAAGGTTGACTACCATGTCATGAAGGCATACGTATATATATACATGTCATGTATATTATGCCATACACAAATATATAACAAGTCACATAAAGTTAGTTACATACTGTCATGTATATTTATAATGTCATATTCAAATTATGTAATATATATCATGTACACATGAATAATGATATATCAAATAAAACTGAAACTTTGCCATTCAAACCACACAGAAATGAGGTTGGTGTGAAAGATGAAGAATGGTGTTACCATGTTTTGGTTATATTGATCATCTTTTTAGAGAACAAATGATAATGTCCTGCTAAAATGAATGATAATGTCCTACTACAACAAATGATAATGTCCTTCTACAACAAATAATAATGTCCTACTACAACAAATGATAATGTCCTACTACAACAAATGATAATGTCCTACTACAACAAATGATAAATCCTACTAAAACAAATGATAATGTCCTACTACAAAAAATGATAATGTCCTACTAGAACAAATTATATTATCCTACTACAACAAATGATACATCTAAGTCCTAAATTATAAGTGAACTCATGTGTGACTGAAAGGTAGATTGGGAGTGGGAGTTAGAATATGAATGAGTGGGAGTGGAGGGTAGATTATGAACTTGGTAGTGAGATGTAGAATATGAACTTGGGAGTGGGATGTAGAATATAAACTTGGGAGTGGGAGGTAGATTAGGAACTTGACGTGGGAGGGAGATTATGAACTTGGGAGAGGAAGATAGAATATGAACTTGGGAGTGGAAGGTAGAATATGAACTTGGTAGTGGGAGGTAGATTATGAACTAATGTGGAATGAGGAGGTTAAATGTCAACATGCCGCTTGAATACCTGATTGTTTTTGTTTTTTTAAAATAATGAAATTTCAATTTCAGTGCAAACAAATAAACAAAGAAAGATCCCATGAGCACTATTCAGCTTTAAACATCATCCAGCAACACATATTGTTCAAAAGAGAATTGATGTATGTTGCACTCCTTAACTGTTAACATGTTTACAAGGGGAAGGTTATTGTACTTAAAATTTCTTCAAAAGACTTTATGGTCATTCAACATACTTGACAAGCGTAAGGTACAAAAGATATTCTATGAAAATCAACAGTAAAATTGTCACAGAGGAAAACAGGATGTTAATCTTGTTATTTACCACCATCAAAATAGAATTTAAAAAATAATTTTAAATATCTGTAATACAGCATTGAACAAAACAGACAGTTACGATACATTCAATACAGACAGTTACGATATGTTCAATCTTATTTGCCATTCTTTGGTTATTTAGCTTTATACATATTGAAGGATTTCTTTAGATGCCAAAAAAATTTTGACATAAATTAATAAATGAGCAATCATGTTTTGTAACATGTTTAAATAATCTAATCGCACAATTTTTTTGTAACATAATAATTATTGGGTCTAATCTAATCATACAATTTTATAAACATATTGATTATTGGGTCTAATCTAACGATATTTTTTTTATCATATTGATTATTGGGTCTAGTCTAATCTAATCATACAATTTTTCTTAACATAGGGCCTATATATGATTGGGTCTTATCTAATCACACATTTTTTTAAACATTGATTATTTGGTCCAATCTCAATGTAATTTATGAAACAAAGCCAAAACACAATAAAGTAAGATTTCAACAAATTAAGTTACATTTTTGTATGAAAGTTAAATCAGATATTCACTTATAGAAATGGATGCCTTGAAGTTGAACTTTATATCCACTTAGCAAGCCACGACCTTCTAGAACTGTTCTCTAGTGGTTCATGAGCAAGCCCACATGGCATTCTCCATGGCTATACCCAGGGTCGTACAAAGGTCAAGACAACCGCGTAAATCCCCCACGGCCCTGCCTGCTTGGGGCTGGCAATAGTCGACATTGAAATGTTTGATGCAATGGTTTGGCAAAGTGGAGGGGCCCAAAACTCCTCTGCACAGCTCTGGATACAGCAGTGAATAGTGTGTAAAGTCAACAGGATGCCAGTATGAACATATGATAGTCAGCAATAGACAGTAATGGTGGAATGAATGTGTGATGAAGTGCATCTTCATAAGACCATGACAGTTCCCAAGTTCCCAGAGTGTAGTAAACTTGAGTTAATATGACAAGATGAAGTGGGAAATGTACAGTAATAAGCCAAATAGGTAAATTTGAAGTTAAAAAAAATGTAAAATTTGTTTTTCAAAATGACTGACATATGACCAATCATTTATGTTTATTAATGCTTGACAAGTGTTTATAGAACAGAATAACATGTTTGTTCATGTTAGCTAAGTGTTTATAGAACAGTTTAAAATTGCCTGCCTGAGACAAGATGTTAACAGACATTTCAAGTTCTGTAACTCTTGATGTGCCTTCAGATTCATTTAGCCTTCCAATTTCCTTTCCCGACCCTAATGCCCACCACGTCCAGCAGACTAGACTCAAATGCTTCATATCACAGACATTAATTATGGATTTTAGAATGATAACATTGGGAACATTTATAAACTGAATAACAGAAAATTACAATCATATCTGAAATCAAAGATATTCATATCAACTAAAAGAATTGGATTAGCAAACAATATGCAACATTTGGAGATAAAATACATTTGGCAATAATAACTTCTGGAACATTTGATTGAGAACAATACTAAGTTCTTTATTTGCACAAGAAAATTATTTGGACTTTGATACTTCCTTGAATATATTTAATTACCATGAGCATTTGCAAGATCATGTCTGTTGATGACCAAAGACTCACCTGCACTCACCTGGTGCCTGCCAGATCAGGTCTGTTGGTGACCAAAGACTCACCTGCACTCACCTGGTGCAGTTTATCCAAACAAAGAAATTGATATTTGTCAAGTTTTTCAATCCCCAAGTATTAGCCGGTGATACCAAGTTCCAGCATTCCTCGTGAATGATGTAACAAAATTAAAAACTCAGAGTTCATCCTTATGCTCTCTACAACTTCAAGTCTGCAGAGAAGTTCTCTTCACAGATCAACGCTTCAAAAATTAATTTTATAATTCAAAAAATGCAGGTTTGAGTTTAATTACAAGGCTGAATTTTCGTCCAATGGTTTAGAATAAAGCTCTCAGCTTTGAAGGTTTGACTAGAAAATACACACATCATTTAAAAAGTTATTTATTTAAGATCACATCTCTCCCTCAAGTCTATTTTATACACAGACAACAGTGGACAAAAATGGAGTAGTGTTTTGACTTGTAAAGCTATGGATGGGCTTCAATACTTGACTGTTGTTCCTAGAACCAAGTTCCTAGAACCAAGTTCCTAGAACCAAGTTTCTAGATAAAGACAATGCCCTGTTTGCTCCAGTGTTTCCTGGAGGCCATGTTTGGTCCAATGGTTCTTGGAGGTCATGTTTAGTCCATTTATTCTTGATGTCTCTCATCAGATCAGCCTTGTAAACCATAAAACTTGCTAGACAATGTACATATATACTGCTGTCCCACAAACTTAAATAAGATTTGAGATAACATGTTTTTAATTGAGCTATGAATGGAACAAGGCATCCATCTTTTCACAGTGTATGAAAAGGTCCACACCAAGGCAATATGTTAAAGCATTGAAGTATGTGCAAAAGTGAGAGCACAATGCATCCATTCAAGGAATTATTTCACAGAGTCACAAGTGTGTTTGACTACAGTCTTGTTGAGTATTTGTCTTTGTGTCTTTCCAGGGACTTGCTTTCTTTCCATGGCTGTAGAAAAAATGTTTTCATCGGTGCCTTCCCCTTGACTTTTGTTAGGCCCCTGTATTCTAAATTGAAGCCATACTTTACTAATACTGCTGCCGTCTCTTCAGGGACCTAAAAAGGGAAACAATTTTTAAATATCTTTGAGTGATGAGAAAAATTTCATTGTGCATTAACAGTGTTTTTTTTTTTGTCACAGAATGCGGTATAACAGTTTTTTCCAGCACCTATTTAACTTGAAATTTATATTTTAAAAAATAAAACAGATGAGAGTGGCAGGACCAGTTTTCTTACAAAAATAGAATTGTGCATGAGTAACAAGAGTATTACTTAGCTTTTTACTGTTTTGATAAGAAACCATTGTTAAACAAATTAACTAGTTTAACCCTAAATATGGTAATCATGAACATAATGATTGGCTTTAGCTAATAAAGGGGCCGAGCATGAGTTAAAATTTAAATTTATAGTTCCTTTTCCTTTTTTTTCCCATTTATTTTCTACACACTCTAGTTCAATACCATCGCATAGATTTTTCTCAAACTCTCCTCAGCATCAGATAAATCCTTAAATTTCATTTTTTTGTGTGTTTGGTTTTGCTAAAGAAGACACAGATGTTTTATTGTGTCCTTATTTTTCAGATTTTCGCCTACCTAGCACAACTCATTTTCCCTCTTATTATGCAAGTCAGTGTTTGTTGAGTTAATTCTCTTAGGATGACAGAGCTACTTATGGGAAGTGGGGGTTGGGTGGATGGGGAAGGACAGGTATGCACACCCTATCACTACAAAGTTGTTCCAGCTTCCTTTTGTTCTTAGAACTGATTGCATAACTAATTTTGGCTTTTATGTTCAAATAGTTTTCAAGAGTTTTAAAACGAACATCAAATTCCAGCAGAGATTAAACTTATCAAGTGAACTACCTGTATTTTTCCAGGCAAACCAGAGCTGTCCATTCTACTGGCAACATTGACAGTGTCTCCCCAAATATCATACTGAGGTTTCCTAGCTCCAATCACACCCGCTATGACAGGCCCATTGTTTACTCCTGATGTAAGGAAGAAAACAAAATTTCAGGATTATTTTTTATTTGATTGCTTTCAACTTTTGTGATGTGATGGCAGATAATGAGATTTGCATGATATTTTATATTAATAGATGGAACAAATTATGATTACATTAATACATGTTGTTCTTTTGTTATTTCTAACAAGAGCTTAAACAAATCTTGTACCTGCTTAATGCGCCGTCTTCTTTTCTTCATCATATTATCATTCTAATCTTTAAATATTTATATTTCTTTTTTTAAATTGGTAAACAAAATATTGTCAGTAAAATATAAGCCTCAGTACAAGTATCAAAGACTTTTACAATCTATGAAATGTGGTGGTTAACTTTTGTTAATTTTACATCAATAAATCTACAATATTTAGATGGTTGAAATTGTTGACAAGTTTGAAAGGGATTAGAACAAATCATCGCCTTCAAATACAAATTATAACATAAATTTATGGAATAACAGATCACAGTCCTGTCATTTAACCTCTCACTCAGCCTCTCTCTTATTAGCATCTCAATTAGCATCTCACTTATTCTATCTCTTAGCATCTCAATTAACATCTTACTTAGTATTTCCCATAGCATATCATTTAGCCTGTCACTTAGCATCTCACGTAACATATCACTTAGTCTATCACTGAGCATCTCACTCAGCATCTGACTTAGCATCTCACTTAACCTGTCACTTAGCATCTTCCACAGCATATTATTTATCCTGTCACTTAACATGTCACTTAGCATTTCTCATACCAGCATCTCACTTAGCAGTGAACTTTGCATCTCGCTTAGCCTCTTACTTATTAGCATATAACTTAGCATCTCTGTTAGCATATAACTTAGCATCTCTATTAACATATAACTTGGCATGTCACTTAGAATGTCACTTAGCATGTCACTTAGCATGTCACTTAGTATCTCTTTTATTAGCCTCTCACTTAGCATCACCCTCCTCAGCATATACCTTAGCATCTCCCTCATCAGCATATACCTTAGCATCTCCCTCATCAGCATATACCTTAGCATCTCCCTCATCAGCATATACCTTAGCATCTCCCTCATCAGCATATACCTTAGCATCTCCCTCATCAGCATATACCTTAGCATCTCTCTCATCAGCATATACATTAGCATCTCCCTCATCAGCATACACCTTAGCATCTCACTCAGCCTGTCATTTAACATTGCACTTAGCCTTTGAATTTTAGCATCTTACATAGCCTGTAAGTTAGCATCTAGCTTAGCATCTCACTTAAAATCTCACTTAATATTTCATTTAGTACGCAATTATAGTGAATGTGTTCTCACAGAGTAACCAACTGACCAACCAAGTAACACATCCCAAAACTATACATTTAAACAAAACTCACATTGACAGAAAAACACATACTGGTACAAAAAGACTATATACAAAAAGGTTTACTTACATAAATATTACATACACCAAATTACACGCATAAAGATTACAGACGTAGCATTACCTATACAAAGATTACAAGTACAACATACCAATCCTGAGACTGAAGTTGTTGTAAGAATGTTGGTTGATATTGTCCAGGGTCTCCATCATGTTCAGGCTGAACTCAATCATCAACACAATGTTCACCTCCCAGGGTTCTTCTTCCTACAATCAATAAAACATTAGCACTTCTTCCTACAAACAACATTACATTACCACTTCTGCCAACAAACAATATAACATTACCACTTCTGCTAACAAACAATATGACATTACCACTTCTACAATCAGGAAATGTAACAAATATTAGCATAAAATAGTGATATATATACATATACAAGTGCTGCCCTCTTTCATTCCTCTTACAGCCCATCAACAATTTATAAAATAAATACGAAAATTCGCTTTTTTTAAATTTTACCAATTCAGTTTCCTGGTTTATAAAGTTCATGTATTTCAAGAGCTAGAAAAAAACTTTGCAATGATGAGCTTCTTTTTTATTCTGATTTAATAAATACAATCCTGACAACTAGCTAACAACAGATGGGTCAATTAGCTCTCACCTGTTGTCTTCTTGGTCCAGTCTGAAGCCCTGTAGCTGCCATGTAAGTGCTCCCAATGGTTTTAATCTTTTCGACATCTTGATGACTTTTTATGAGCAGCTGGGAACATCAATAATCATTTTCTTACATTAGTGAAGTCAAAACTTTAAGAGCAACTCCTCTTGAACAAGTATCTGTTTCATGTATCTGCTCTGTGTATCTGTTTCGTGTATCTGCTCTGTGAATCTGTTTCATGTTTCTAATAGAGAGGAAGTGTTCCTTAAACCTCACCACCCCCACCCATTTAGCTCCATTTGCTCCCAATCACCATCTCCATTTGCTCCCAATCACCTAGTTCCATATGCTCCCAATTACCTAGCACCATTAATAATAATAATGATAAAGTTTATTTGAAAAACACGCTTCATCCCCAAAAGCTCGAAGCAGGGTACAAAGTCAACCATATTAAAAAGAGAAATAAAAACAATCTAAAATTACCATATTTAAAAAACAGACGCAACAATATAAAACTACATACGAGCATACCAAGTAAAGTCCTTCATCCCATTTCAACCATAAGCAACACAAGCCAATATACATTAGCTGAAAAAAGATGGTAGATAGCATGACCCCACAAGGTGTTTGCAAAATAGATGTGTTTTTAAATCGGTTTTAAAGGAATCCAGTGTCTGGCTGTTTCTGAGAGTGACTGGAAGGGCGTTCCAAATTGTTGGGCCGGCAAATGCAAAAGTGCGCTTTTCGTAAGTCTCAAGATGAACACACGGTATTGATATTTTGCCACTATCGGATGAGCGGAGCTGTCTAGTGGGTACATAAGGCGTCATGAGTGCTTTGAGTTAAGATGGCGCCAGGTCATGTAAGCAACGGTAGCACAAAGTTGCAATTTTGTACTCTATGCGAGCGCGGACCGGCAGCCAGTGCAGCTCTCTAAGAAGTGTTTTAGCATGGTCGAATTTGTGTTTGCAAAGATCAATGCGAGCCGAATTATTCTGTGCTCTTTGAATTTTATCCAGGAGCATAGCTGGGAGACCCACCACGAGAGCATTGCAGTAGTCCATGCATGATAACACAAATGAATACATCAGCCTCTTTGATGCATCTAACGTTCCCAATCACCTAGCCCCATTTGCTCCCAATCACCTAGTTCCATCTGCTCCCAGTCACCCAGCTGCATTTGCTCCCAATCACCTAGCTCCATCTGCTCCCAGTCACCTGGTTACATCTGCCACCAAAACGTACCAGGTCAAAGTCAGAGATAATTTCATTGAGCACACGAATGCACTCTAGTCTGCGACCAAAACTTACCAGGTCAAAGTCAGATATAATTTCATTGAGCACACGAATGCACTCCAGTCCTTCTCCATTGGCTTTTGTTTGTTGGTAAAAATCTTTGAAATTTGGAATGGATGCAAACATCACACAAACATTGCTACAAGATTCGTGGTACAGCTCCTGGAAAAAAGATGTGTAAAAATGTTCATGTTCAGCCTCGACCTCATAGGCTCTTGAGACTAAGGACAATTTATCACACACAAAAATCCCCTTCAAAGTTTCCTTTTCTTGCTATTAATAATTTTTAAAAATTTCAACCAAGATGTTTTCAGTGATTTATTACACCAATCAATCAATGTCACAAAAACCCTTTACACAAACCCTTTAAACAAACCTTTTACACACACAAGAATATTTCAACAACAAAAATAAGAAGAAATGTCAGAAACTTGTCCAGACTTGTGAATACATATAGGTTAAGTACTTTATCTCATCTAACTTAGTGCGAAGTTTGAGATTTCAACAAAGTGCAACTTTTTGTACTTTTAATTGTTTCAATGGATCTGTGCTGAATTTTAAACAATCTTTTGTATTTTTTGTAAAATATTACACAATATAAAAAATAAAATGTGGGATTTCCTCAGGGACTGATTGTGGGATTGAATCAGCTTTGGCAATTGGGATGAACTGGCTCAGTCTCCTTGTACATGTTGACCATTTATAAGGCATGTTTTAATAGGCTAGGTCTCAAATATAAATAGAGGCCCAAGCATATTTTTAAAAAAAATTATTTAATTTATTTTCTGTAACATTAATAACAAAAATAAATATAAAGTTTCTAAAATAATTCAAATACTGTTAAAAAAATAATTATATTTTAAAGATTTCAAAAATAATATCATAGAATTAATCTTAATAGTATGTGAGGATATTTTCATTAATCTTAATATCATTTGCCAGCCCATCAATTATTTGTTCCTCTAACATGGTTAATGTAATTGTAATGTCTGGTTCATAGTTTATCAGCATACATGTCGCCAATTTGTTTTCAGAAATATTTGATCTCAATCAAATATTTCAGTTTGAAGAAATTTCAGAAATTTAGCATGAAACTTGGAATTTAGAAGAATCAGTAACTATTTATAAAAATTAAATAATACTGACTATACATCTGAATATAAATTATGCCTTTTTAGTATGATATTCCAGGGAAAAACACAATTCTAATAAGTACTATTATGTTCTGTAGTCACTTTTGCAAAATTATGAATAGATATTTCCAACATTTCTATAATTTTTGTCTGCATTATTTATTACTTCTAGACAAATTTCAGTGTTTTTTGTAAGATCTTTCTTTTAAAAAATGTCAACTTTGGAAGAAAATCTAGACTCTTCTTAAATTCCAATTGCCCTTGCTTTATTATTGAATCTCAAAAACAATTTGCTGAGAGATTTTTAGGTTTAATACAAGACTTTATCAAGTTCACCCAAATTCCTCGGATTGAGGCATTCTTGAAGCTATCTTGTCATACCTGCAACTATCTTGCCCTTCCCAGTTTATCTTTTGTGAAAACACTGTCTTAAAAACATGGTTATTGACATCAGCAAGAAAGTTTTTGAATTGGTTCTAACAATTCTCCATTCCTTCATCATGCAATTTCTAGAACTCTCAGGTGGGAACTCTGTTTCACCTTCAAATCCTCTTGTTCTTTATAGAATTTTTGTGTGGTCTCATTAACTTTATTTACAGTGGGGTATTCTTATGAAATGTTATTTAATTTCTCAGTTGTCTTTCCAGTCAACCTCTGGTCTTGCAACAAATAAATAGTAGGAAATAATTTTTAAAATGACTTATTTGTTTTGTTTATTGTTAAACAATAACACTATTTTTTTCATAGCATCTAGTGGCCATAGCATATCCCCAATAAGGCTGTTCCACCCTGTGATGTCTCATAGGGTCCATTTTCTATGTCGACATGAAATGTCTTTGAGTGACCACACATAAGCAGCAGAGTTGTCCGAACTCAAGGTCTACAAAGAACATTTTCATTTTCTATTTGTCCACTATGTAAGCCAACCTAACTATTATGTTTTTGATGTTTTAATTTCCAAAAATAAACATTAACATAAATATATATATAATACAAGTTCTCAATAAGTTTGACACTATGCTTGTTTCCATGCACACACTCTGTCACTCCGTACCTGGTTGGCTATCAGGGCGGTATAGTCCGCTAGTCCACTATAACACCTTGGTTTTTTTTTCTAGTTGACCAGAGGTAGTAAGCTATTTTCCTAACTATTTTTTCTAGTTCACCTGAGATAGTAAGCTATTTCCCTACCTCATTTTTTCTAGATGACCTGAGATAGTAAGCTATCACATGAGATGGGATAATATTTTCTAGGACTATCTTGTTGATGGCTGCCATCATTTTCACCTTGGAAAAAAAATAAGAACACATGAAAAATGTGCAAATAAAACAAAGTGTGTACACACTGAAACAGAGAAAATGTACAAAAACTGGTACTCATTAAAACAAAAATAATATTTTTTTAGCCAAAATCTAATAAAGTGTTTGTAAAAATGAACTCAACAATCTTCTGAAGATTCATAGTGTTTGAGACCAAATTCTGATACAGAGATTTAATGTAGATGCCATAGATGCCATGTCTTCAATTCCATTGTGGAAGTACAAACAAAAACTCTTCATTTAGGATGTCAAAAGCACAAAATTCTCAACAAAAGAAGGTCATTATAAATGACCTGGTTTAGATTACCTGCTCCGTCTCTCTTTGAAACTGTAATTTGAATAGATGACCCAGCCGATTTGCATATTCCATCTGTCTGTCCAGGTAGTGCATAGTGATTAAAACCACAGCAATGCATATAGAAGTCTTGAACTTCAGTGGTATACTATTCCCATTTGAACTGCAATGTAAAAATACAAGCAACTTGAATAAGGCTAAACATTAAATTCTGCCTTCAAGGAATGACTATTGATTTATAAAGGCTGCTTTCATCGTGCCTAATTCATTATTGAGTAATTCAACTTCCATTGTGATTATTGTGTGGTTTTTTTTGTTTATTATCTAAGATTTTGTGTGTTTTTTTGTTTATTTATACGATTTTGTATGTGTTGGTATATTATCTAATATTTTTGTTTGTTTGTTTATCTTCTAAGATTTTGTTTGTGTTGTTTTTTGTTTTTTTTTCAAGATTTTTACACTAAACAGAGCTGAACTGAAATATTTCCTAACCACTGGTCGAAGGCATCAAACACATCTCCTTTGCCAACATGGATAGAGAGGTTGACTATTATGAACATGACTGCCAGGAAGATGAGCTTGATGATGAAGCTGATCTGGATGAAGATACTATAGCTAGTGAAGGCTATCATGAAACTCAGAAGGAAATACTGGAGAGACAAAAATAGCAATTATCATTAGAACAAAGCATTAACTTGTTTTATTAAATGCTTTATATTAAATTTTTTTTGTTTATGTGTTTCTTTCTTTCTGGATGTGTGGCAAAATCTTCGGAATTGACCTTTCCCATCAACCTAATCGAGCTGAAATTTGGTGTAATAAATCTGTGGTGTAAAAGTGGGTGGGACATTACAATATAAATATAATTTAAATTATTAAAAAATGTTTATGAAGGATTTTTATGAAAAAAAAAAATATTTTACCAACTATTTCAGAATTTAAAAAAAAATATTAAGTACCAAACACACTTGCGATATTTTTAAGAATCTCATTTAGTGCAATTATCTGGAATTTTATTTTGTCAAATCATTGGCATCATATTTCCTTCATCTTCCTTTTGAAAAACAGGGGGAACCTATTTTAGGGGGTTGAGGGGGGGTAGGTTATGTTCAGCATCGAACAATCAACCTTAGGATCAATTTGTTGAAATATGACTCAGACAATCTTTTAGGAATCTAGGCAAATACAATTAAATCACATTCACTTACAGGTGGGTTACAAGATCCTGACCCTATCCTCGAAGAGTTGACTTGATTCCCCGAAGAGTTGACTGAGGCGTTGAATTGACATACTGAGGGTAATTCTGGTCTGTCACAGTTAGACTGTTCAAAAGAAATGAAATGTGTTAGATTTATACTTCAATGGTTCTAGTTATTGTTTTAGATAAATGGTTCTAGTTATTGATTCATTTCAATGGAACTAGTTATTGTTTCAGATAAATCGTTCTAGTTATTGTTTCACTTCAATGGTTCTAGTTATTGTTTCAGATAAATGGTTCTAGTTATTGTTTCAGATCAATGGTTCTAGTTATTGTTTTAGTTAAATGGTTTAGTTATTGTTTCACTTCAATGGTTCTAGTTATTGTTTCACTTCAATGGTTCTAGCTATTGTTTCATTTCAATGGTTCTAGTTATTTTTTCACTTCAATGATTCTAGTTATTGTTTCAGATCAATGGTTCTAGTAATTGTTTCACTTCAATGGTTCTAGTTATTGTTTCGGATAAATGGTTCTAGTTATTGATTCATTTCAATGGTTCTAGTTATTGTTTCACTTCAATTGTTCTAGTTATTGTTTCATTTCAATGGTTCTAGTTATTGTTTCAGATCAATGGTTCTAGTTATTGTTTCAGATCAATGGTTCTAGTTATTGTTTCATTTCAATGGTTCTAGTTATTGTTTCATGGTTCTAGTTATTGTTTTATTTCAATGGTTCTAGTTATTGTTTCAGATCAATGGTTCTAGTTATTGTTTCATTTCAATTGTTCTAGTTATTGTTTCAGATAAATGGTTTAGTTATTGTTTCAGGTCAATGGTTCTAGTTATTGTTTCAGATAAATTGTTTAATTATTGTTTCAGATCAATGGTTCTAGTTATTGATTCATTTCAATGGTACTAGTTATTGTTTCAGATTAATGGTTCTAATTATTGTTTTATCTCAGTGGTTCTAATTATTGCTCCAGATCAATAGTTCTGCATACCGCATTGAAAATACATATGAAATGTTTCAGAATTAAAGAAAATATCATGATAATTTTCTGAATTTTTTTTATTTTTATAATAAACTTTCTAATTACTGTAAAAATCTCAACTTTGATTAGACATTTAAAGAAAAAAAAGAAGAAACTCCAATTTTGTTTTTCATATTTGATCTGATCAGACATATTAATGGGTGATCCTAATCATGATGATTTTTATATGTAACCCAACAAATATTATAATTACTTTGATTGTGCTATGTGTCCTGTTATTAATTGTTATACTGACAATTGTTATTGTGATATTTATTAGGCTTATTGTGAGACTTATCCTGATGATTGTAATACTTACTATCATGATTGTGAGACTTATTAGACTGATTGAGATTTATCCTAATAATAATCGTGATACTTACCATTATGATCGTGATACTTATTAGTCTGATTATAAGATTTATCCTCATAATAACTGTGATACTTACCATGGTGATTGCTGAAGCAAAGAAAATAATTCCTACACAAGACAAGGATAGCACCACCCTCACCCACAAGATACGACCGATGTACGTAGAGATGTGAGCAAATATGTCAAGGACTTTGTGACAGCGTTTCTGTTGAAAAAAAAAAATTTATTAAATTTTTTAAAAATACAACATATTTACAATCTAAGATACACAAAATGATTTTATTTTTGTAGTTTTTATCAAGATTATTTTTTTATTCAAATAAATGGAAATGTGTTTTGAATATATTGTACATAATGATTTTCAGCACATGGATCAACATGATAAAGAAAGCATTTTTTAATCTCCAACAATATAAATTTTGAGAATTTCTCAAGTGCAAAAATGAGCCATCTTATATGATGAAACCTCACTGCCCTAATGACAATTCTGTCTGAGAGTGATTATTTTAAATGTCACATAAAAATTTACATACATGCCCAGTCTTTGAATTCAGATAAAAAATATGGAAAAGTTGAATTTTCGGTTGGAACAGGCTGAGACTGAGAGCCATGAGAAAGATTGAGACCAAGAGCCATATAAAAGTTGTTTTTTTTTGTATCATTTGTAGTCAATTTTTTAAATTTTCAATAATAACATTACATTAACATAGCAAATAGCTTCTCCAAACGTAAGAAACTGAAGTATTTCCATCAGGGGTTCATTTATACATGGAATAGCACAACATTCATTGAACAAAAAATATAGCATTGTATGTGTGGCATGGTGGGGTGCAAGCTGCATCAGGTGAAAAGTTTTAATTTGTTTGTTTGTTTCAATGTGTTTTGTAGATCTCTTAGTGGACACTAGGATGCAGGGAAAGGGGAGGAGTAGAGCTCAGGCATTTCACAGCACACCCCCCCCACCCACCCCTCACTTCCTTAGTTAGTTGTTCCATTTCTGGAACCCTGTAAAAGTTAACTTCAGTGAGCTTTTCGGCAATCCAATAAATAAACTTTTATGAAACAGGTGAATAAAGAGAAAACTAATGTTACTCACCAGAGCAGGTATTTTATGACATAGCAACTCACCAGGGCAGGTATTTTATGATATAACTCACCAGGAGAGGTATTTTATGACATAACTCACCAGGACAGGTATTTTATGATATAACAACTCACCAGGACAGGTATTTTATGACATAAACAGATGGCTGTCAGAACTGTCAGGAGCAGACAACTTAATGTTGAAGTGACAAAGAATAAAGCACTCCTGAAACCAAAACAAAAAACTCAGTAACCTTTGGAAGAACATAGAACAATAAGAGTTAGGGTAATAAAGAGTATTGAGAGTTAGGGTAATAAAGAGCATTGAGAGTTAGGGTAATAAAGAGCATTGAGAGTTAGGATAATAAAGAGCATTGAGAGTTAGGGTAATAAAGAGCATTGAGAGTTAGGAGTTTAAAGACTAAGATAGAACAATAAGAGTTAAGAAAAATAGAGATTATAAGAAAAGGGTTAGGATTAGCTTAGCAAAAAAATTATATTTGTGGAATCAAATAATCTTTCTGTTTTATCAGGAATTATTGTAAACAAGTAGACATTAAAATCAAAATGAAATTTAAGTAATCCTTTTGTTTATTAACTTTTTCGAATCTGAAGATATTTTTAACATTAACCTTTTGGAACAAAGAAAAATAAGGTTTGTTAAAATGAAATGTCCAGTCTCTTAAATCGTATAGAAAATTTGGGTTTATGGAATTGAATTCCAACATAATTAGTTTAAATTCATCGTCAAATTATCAAGAACGCACACATTGTCATGGTGGGCACATTGTCATGGTAGGTACACATTGTCAACATATTGGTTCCATTAATGAATGAAATTGTATAAAAAGATATGTTAGAGCTTGAATGAAAAGACAGGAAAATACGATATGAATGTTTCAGCTTAGAGCCTTCTTCATCAAACAGGACAAATGAAAATATGACAATAAAACAGAGCACAGTAAAAAACTTAAGAGATCTCCTTTTTTTGAATGCAGTCCTTCAATTATTATCTTCCATTAATGAATGATATTTTCCTTTTTTTAATTTTTAAGGCAAAATTGTTATATAATACTGTTATTTTTTTAAATGATTTATTTTACTCAGGCAACTGTTGTAAATCAAACATCAAAATAAACAATATCATATGTTTCATATACATATTACATACAGGGTTTAAATTATTGTATTTTTAGAATAAATGATCCTACTGACCTGGGCAACATGACTGCTTGTATTATAAATATTACTATGAAGAAGACAAGAGCTGAAATCACATAGAAGAAGAACATATCATCCGGCTGTTTGGAGAAACTATGCTCAGCAAATGGATCAAGGAATCGTAACAAAACAGAATGCATCTCTGCCTCAGATTTACACTGAAAACTGAAATGGAAAAATTAAAACACACAAATTATTTTGTTTTTTGACTCACTGAAAACAAAAAAATTGTACATAACATTTAACTTAACGGGGTTAAAATACTTTAGGAAAAATAATAAATGTTTATTCATGATTTTTTGTTGTTGACATCAATATGATAAATATAAATAATATTAATATCCCTTAAATGAAAGTCAAATTTGTAGAGCGGTATGAGAGAGTAAAACTTCCAATATATAATTTCACTTCTTACTTTTTAATATAACCTTGGCAACCACCCTAGCAACCCAGCCAAGCAAACCAGCCTAGCAAACCAGCATAGCAAACCAGCCTAGCAAACTACCCTAGCAAACCAGCCTAGTTAAGCAGCCTAGAAAATCAGCCTCTACTATCTTTAGTGTGTGCCTAGCTGCGTTCTAGTTAACAGTGATGAGTTAAGTGAGTAGCTTCTAGTTAAGTGATGAGTTCTAGTTAACAGTGATTAGTTAAGTGAGTAGCTGCTAGTTAAGTGATGAGTTTTAGTTAACAGTGATTAGTTACGTGAGTAGCTGCTAGTTAAGTGATGAGTTCTAGTTAACTATGATTAGTTAAGTGAGTAGCTGCTAATTAAGTGATGAGTTCTAGTTAACAGTGATTAGTTAAGTGAGTAGCTTCTAGTTAAGTGATGAGTTCTAGTTAACAGTGGTTAGTTAATTGAGCAGATGCTAGTTAAGTGATGAGTTCTAGTTAACAGTGATTAGTTAAGTGAGTAGCTGCTAGTTAAGTGATGAGTTCTAGTTAAATGTGATTAGTTAAGTTAGTAGCTGCTTGTTAGCTAGTCCCCCATCTGATCACCCTTAGTGGCACAGCTGACCAAACCCTAATAACACAACTGACCAGCCTCCAGTACCACAACTGACCACCCCTAGTCCCATATCTGACCAGCCCTCAGTGCCACAACTGACAACCCCTAGTCCCACAACTGACCACCCCTAGTTCCGCATCTGACCCCCCTTAGTGCCACAACTTCAACTGACCAAACCCTAATAACACAACTGACCAGTCCCCAGTGCCACAACTGACCTGTTGTTGGTGATGTTGTTGAGGCGTTCTTGAAGCCTCATGTTGATCTCTTCTTGTTGCTGTTTATCTGCTGCCAATAACCTGTGACCCCAATGGCAAAGTTTAAAAGTTAGTTTTAACAATATGACACAATAAAAAACATTAGAGAGGAATCTTATCAAATTCATTTCAATTTCTTCATCTGTAGAAGATTATCTCAGTGTTTTCCTTCCTTATTAATTGTACATGCTAAATTTTCCAGATTTCAGGAGTTGTGAAAAATTTATAAGAGCCACTAAAATGTTCAAGGATCCCTGAGCCAAAATCCAAGCACTAAATATAAAGGCACAATTCGTGGGAATTTGTTTGAACTCAGAGTTACCAGTAAGACATCTATAAATAATGTTACTTCTAACTGTGATTTCTGAGTGATTAAGATGGAGAAATGTGTAGATTTTTGTGCATAAAGACATAAATCAAAATCATGGAGATGAATGGACACCAGACTGTGCCTACTGGCTCTTCCAACTGGCTTTTTCTGACTGGGTGTGCCAACTGGCTGCACCGACTGGCTGTGCTGACTGGCTGTGCCGGCTGGCTGTGCCAACTGACTGTGCCCACTGGCTGTGCCGAATGGCTATTCCTACTGGCTATTCTGACTGGCTGTGACAACTGGGTGTGCAGGAAACTTTTCATATTCCAGGTAAGGTAATCATAGAATTATTTATTGACAAAAACATTCACAGTGACTTACCCTTGATCTATGCCAGAAGAGTTCATCATAAAGTTAGAATCTATCAGGGCCAAACTCTGATCAAGATACAATATAATTTTTATACTCAAGAGTTTTTTTTTTATTAAACTGGTCTTTTTGTAATGTATGCAAGCAGTGGTGTAGCTAGGGGGATGCGTACCACACCAGGTGACACCAACTCTAGCTAGGCCATTGTATGCAAGCTTTAAAAAATGTGCATTTAGCAAGAAACAATGAACAATAAGATTTGTTAAAGATATACAAAAAACAAATTGAGAAGTGAAAATTGAATCAGTACATTATTGTTGTCGTAAAATTCCTTGAGCCATTTACAAGTCATACAATAACCAGGCTTACTATTTTTTGTATCAAATTTACCTATTTATATAATACAATATTATAACTTGTTGAAAAATGAACAGTTCCCTATACCAACGTAACTCAATACCCTAAATTCACCCTCTCACCTCCTTCTCAAATTCAATCTTATTTCCTTATTCAATCTTATTTCCTTAATTCTCCACCATCCCCCCACCCCCCGCCCACCCTCCAAACATTGCACGCCTACCACCACTATTTGACTTTCATTCTCTCCCCAAACTAAACATTACCCTTTCCTCTACCATCTTACACATTACCTTCCCTCTACAACCTTAGACATTACCCAATTTAAAAACAATGTCGTTAATATTTTAATATCACTTCCATTTAGTGAAGGTTTGGTAACTATTTAAAAAAAAAGCAAAAGCAATGTCAACAAAAATATTATTTTGAATATTGACCTTTTTAGTATCATATTAATTTATATCCTCCCCTATATATATATATATATATGTGTATGTATATATATATATATATAGTTCTGAATATTATATTGAAACGCATTTTTAAATGCAAAAATTTAATTGTGATCTTTAAATATATTTTGATAAAATATGTAATTAATTAAAGAAAGCATCATAAACTGTTCTACTGAAATAAAGAATTTTTTTTAACAGAAAACATATGTCCACTTCATGGAGTCTACCCCTTTCTAAATCATTGAAGTCATTTTTTGACCTTACCGTCAAGCTCAAGACTTTAGACACCATGGAGCTTGTCTTAAGGTTGGCAAATGGCTTGTCCACTCCCCATGTCTCTAAAAATTTTGTAACTCGCAGAGATTTTCGGAGTCCACTCAGATGGTATCTGGTTTTTCCCAGCTTCCTGTCTCTGGCCTGCAGAACTCAAACAAAAGTGTAAACACATGATTTAAAATTATATGGCAAGGTTTTGATTTTCTGAATTTAATTCACTGGGGCTTTGCATTACTTTTGTCTCTATCGGGTTTTTTTTTATTGACGTGCTTAACAGTGAGCTACTAAAAAATTGTTTAATATTTAATCAAGTCATAGATGCGTCATTAATTATGGATTGAGATTGGTTTAGAGTGAAAGAATCCTAACAGAAGTAGTTGGCAAAATTATTTAGGAAGGGTGAGACAAGATGTTACCGTTATACAGATTTGATGTCAACTCACATGCCGTCTTTCAACAGGTACAACCAGGTAAGTTTCAACTTTATTTTCTGCTAAGTAGGCACTCCGCTCATGACCTTTACCCTCCTCCACCTCATACTCTCCTTCCAAGAAAGCTAATGTTTGCCTTGAGATGTGAACTCGACTGAAAAAAAGAATTCAGTCCCACGTGAATTCAGTTAGTATCAATCAAGTCAGGCATATGAAAACATATTTTCTTACTGTGCTGAAACACTATTTTAGGGAGCAAAAGATTCCATTGGAAAATGTTTAATGCATGATATAAAAGAATGAAAGGGTCCAGGAAATAGAAGAATGAAAAAGTCCAGGATATATAAAAATAAAAGTTCCCAGGATATATAAAAATAAAAGTTCCCAGGATAGGCTATATAAAAATAAAAGTTTATAGGATATAGAAGAATGAAAGGGTCACAGCTGAACTTACAACAGAGTAAAATTTAGGAAGTTAAATTTAAAAAAAAAGAAAATTCTGGAAAACTCTATATAATTATAAAATAATTATCTTAAATCCCATGTGTAGAGTGTAACATGTACAAAATAGTTCCACACTAAGTGATGAAACAAGTACAAAATAGTTCCACACTAAGGGATGAAAAATGTACAAAATAGTTCTACACTAAGTGATTTAACATGTACAAAATAGTTCCAAAATAAGTGATGTAATATGTACAAAATAGTTTCAAACTAAGTGAATAAAATAACATTTCAGATACAGGCATAGACTTGTGCTTTAATAGTGAATTGGCATTTCCAGTGGAGTGTTAGGTCTTAAAACTGAAAACCTACCCAGGTAGGCCCCCAGACTCCATGTAATTGGCTATTGTTACGTCATCTGACCACACATCATATTGCCACTTCCTCAGCCCAAGTACACCACACAGCACTGAGCCAGTGTGGACACCAATCCTCATGTCCACATCAACACCTGTGGCTTCCCTCACATCCCTGTTACAGATAAAAATTGTTGGTCAAGTTTTTTTTTTAGAGATATAAATTGTTGGTCTAGTTTTTGTTACAGATAAAATTTTTAATTTTAATTTAATTTTTTTTTTTATTTTTAGGGGGGTGTGGAGGTTGGTACATTATAAAAACAATTTTTGAAGCTAAACTAATTAGTATTATTACTAACCAGTAGTAATAGAAAAGCTTCCATCTTGTCATAGTGCCAACATGACATTTAGCCGACAGAACATTTATACATCCAAACATTTAACTATCCACACTCTCCAAACCCTTTCATTTAAAATCCAGCACATTTAACCACCCAGATGTTTAAGTAATCATTCAGACATTTAACCATCTAGACATTTAACCACCCAGATGTTTAATTATCAGATAATTATTCCAACAGTACATTTTGCCAATAGGACTTTTCAAAGCAAAAAAATCTGGCCAAACCAAAAGGCAATTAACAGCTGAGGTAAACAAATTAATTCTGCCTCTTAGTTGGAAATCTATTTCTGATAGCATCCAACATATACCTTATAGCATCTAGCATTCTAAGCCCCATTCTAACACAGTTTAATGCGTGATGTTTATCAGCATTCGGTACACCTGACACACAGTAGTAGCAGTCACCCAGAATCTTGATTCTCATACAGTTGCTTTTCTGTAAAATGAATAACATTATAACATCGTCAACTCAACGGCATATCTCTCTGCAGCAAATATATATGCTGATAAAATTGTCAACTCTTACAGCATATATGTCCAAAACACAAGGATAAGATTAAGATGAATTGGTTTCTTTAAAAAAATGGTGATTTGATTTTTGATTTGTGATTTCCATTACAATTCTTAAAAACTAATACTCTTTTGAAGCATGTGTGTTGACCTAATTTTACTTCAATGTAGAGCGTCAACCACTCCTCTAACCATTTTTTTGTTTTGATATTGACACCACTAATTAAATGTGCAGTGATGTGCCAACCCCATCCCTTCCTTGATTGGGAAAGGTTGTTTACATTTGAATACTTTCTCATTTGTGATAATGGATGCTATCAGGGGATGCAATTGCTAGAATTTCTTTTCTGAAGGGTGCCAATTTTCTCCCTGTAGATAAGACGGCAGCTTTCCCAGCCCAGAGTGAGATTGTTGCTAATATTCCTAGACTTTTACGAGAAATATAATAGGAGCCTTACAAGAACTGTATTCTTTGTGTGTGTATTAAAATTTTTATCTTTAAAAGCAGGCCTGTACAACATATGGCCCATGGACCACATGCGGCCTGCCAGCACCCACTTAGCGGCCAGTGATGTAACAAAATATTATTTTTTATTATTTTTTCCTTAATAGTTTTCACCCCTGGTCTATTTGCTTTTGGTCCGCACATGTTTTTCATAAAGTATTATGGCCTGCACAATTTTTTCATTCAGCATTACATTTTGAGCTGTGCTGTAAGTTCATAAAGTTTTTCTGTATTTTTTATTTATTAAAATTTTTTTTTTAAACAAATTTAATCGTGTAATTAAATTGGGTATTTTTTAGTATCTCTAGCTTTGGTATCCATTTTCTTTGTATACTGCTTGTTAGTCATTTGTGAAGTACTTTTTTTAAAAATGAATCAAGTCTTGAAACAAATTACATTTGCAAAACCATATAACCTTACGTAACAAAACCATTAAGGCAATTAAAATAGCGTAAACAGACCATGGCACAAATAAGAAATTAAAAACAAGAATTATTAAAATAATTATTTGTTCACTGTTTGCTGAATAAGACTTCATGTCAACATATTGCCTAATAATTGTATATTCTTACTGAAGCCAGCTGGTCAAAGCGTCCAAAAAGTTCATTGAGCATCTTGACAAGTTCAGCGGCTGTGCATTCAGAAGCCAGTGGGGTGAAGTTGACGATGTCAGCGTAGAGGATGCTGTGGTCAATAGGGATTGGTTAGAGATGAGAGATAGCAAAGGGTTTCATTCATATTTAATCTAATCATTACAGGATTTCATTCATGATTAAAATCATGATTAAAATCATGATTAATCTAATCAATACATTATTTCATTCATGATTAATTTAATAAATCCAGGATTTCATTCATGATTAATCTAATAAATCCAGGATTTCATTCATGATTAATCTAATCAATACAGGATTTCATTCATGATTAATCTAATCAATAAAGGATTTCATTCATGATTAATCTAATCAATACAGGATTTCATTCATGATTAATCTAATCAATACAGGATTTCATTCATGATTAATCTAATCAATAAAGGATTTCATTCATGATTAATCTAATCAATACAGGATTTCATTCATGATTAATCTTATCAATATAGGATTTCCTTCATGATTAATCTAATCAATACAGGATTTCATTCATGATTAATCTAATCAATACATTATTTCATTCATGATTAATTTAATAAATCCAGGATTTCATTCATGATTAATCTAATCAATACAGGATTTCATTCATGATTAATCTAATCAATACAGGATTTCATTCATGATTAATCTAATCAATACAGGATTTCATTCATGATTAATCTAATCAATATAGGATTTCCTTCATGATTAATCTAATCAATATAGGATTTCCTTCATGATTAATCTAATTCACTTTCTTTTTCTGTGTGCATGCTTTGCGACTGTTTTTAAATATTGCTACATTTAACACCAGGAATTTACTCACTTTTCACCTGACATGATCTCTCTGATATCACCTGACTTGGTCATACGTGTAGCCTGACATTGTCAAATACTTCATAAGACATCAGTTTATTTCTCACCTGACATTGTCAAACCATACCCTGACATTTTCACATATTTCATATAACATCAAAGCATCTCTCACCTGACATTGTCATATCTCTCCACATACAAATCATGGAAGAGTGTCGGCCTCGGTTCACGCATGTTCTCCTGTAAATCTCTCTTGATCTCGGCCACCAGATTACTGGGAATACAGCTGACCAACAGCTCGTCCTGGTCAACATTCAAATACAGTTTAAGGGCAGTTACTCTTGTCAAGAAATGATTTATGTTTTAGGGCAGTTACTCTTGCCAAAGAAATGATTTATGTTTTAGGGCAGTTACTCTTGCCAAAGAAATGATGTATGTTTTAGGGTAGTTATTCTTGTCAAAGAAATGATGTATGTTTTAGAATAGTTACTTTTGCCAAAGAAATGATGTATGTTTTAGGGCAGTTAATCTTGCCAAAGAAACGATGTATGTTTTAGGGTAGTTATTCTTGTCAAGAAATGATTTATGTTTTCGGGCAGTTTCTCTTGCCAAAGAAATGATGTATGTCTTAGGGCAGTTACTCTTGCCAAAGAAATGATGTATGTTTTAGGGTAGTTACTCTTGCCAAAGAAATGATGTATGTTTTAGGGTAGTTATTCTTGTCAAGAAATGATGTATGTTTTAGGGCAGTTACTCTTGCCAAAGAAATGATGTATGTTTTAGGGTAGTTACTCTTGCCAAAGAAATGATGTATGTTTTAGGGTAGTTACTCTTGCCAAAGAAATGATGTATGTTTTAGGGCAGCTACTCTTGCCAAAGAAATGATGTATGTTTTAGGGTAGTTATTCTTGTCAAAGAAATGATGTATGTTTTAGGGTAGTTACTCTTTTCAAATAAATGATGTATGAAATATAAAGATTTTCTCCCTTTTCTTTCGACATGGTAAAGCAGTGGTTCCCAACCTGTGGGCCCCCATAGCAAATAGATTCTAAAAATTTCTTCAGGAGGCAAAAAGGTTGGAAACCAAAGTAAAGTAATTCCAGGGAATTTAACTATAAAATTATTTAGTGACAAAAACATTCACAATAACTTACCCTCAATCGAATTCTATCACTAGTCAACTGAACCTACTATTACTAACCAACTTGACAGATCAATCTAATCATATACTGTCCTAAATGGACAGCTCAATTTAATCTTAAGACTAACTGACTGGCCAGCTCAATCTAATCTTATTACGAACCAACTGGACAGATCAATCTAATCTTATCACTTCCTAACTGGACAGCTCAATCTAATCTTATTATTAACCAACTGAACATACTTGAGCCAGTTTCCTCCGTAACGTACCTGGGTGTTACCATTCAAAGACAGGTCCGCTGGGACCAGCATATTAATAATGTATGTAACCAGGCAAACAAGACCCGGGGGTTCTTAAGGCGAAATCTAAAGAATGGCAACTCCTGTGTGAAAGAAAGAGCATATAAAGCCTCTGTCCGTCTAGTTTTAGATTATGCATCTTCAGTCTGAGACCCATTCACACAGAAGAACATCGACAGGTTGGAGGCGGTCCAGCGACGGGCGGGCAGCACGCTTTGTCCTAAACCGCTACAGGAATACCTCTAGTGTTGGCAGCTGGTAACACTAGGCTGGTCACCATTGGAGGAGCGACGATGACAAACCAGGCTCTCCATGATGTACAAGATAAATAATGGGCTGGTCCACTGTTCCAGTATTAAACAGAAACTCGTCCCTCTCCCCCATAGACAGCGACAAGGCCATGACAGGCCATTCAGGCTCATACCAGCAAGAAGCCAGTATAGGAGCTGCTCATTCCTGCCCAAGACAATCAGGGACTGGAACAAGCTTGCAAAAGGAACAGTTGAGGCCTCAAGCCTTCAAACCCCCAGTGCATGATGCCCTCACAAAGTGGCACTTGCAATTAGTGAAATATCCTCATCAACACATGGCACAGAAACATTGCAAATCCCTCTACGTGCATAGGAGCCAAAACGATCAATAAATTGATTGTGGGCCCTTAATATATAGAAGAAGAAGAAGATCAATCTAATCTTATTACTAACCAATTGGACAGATCAGTCTAATCTTATCACCTCATAATTGGATAGCTCAATCTATCTTATTACTAACCAACTGGCCAAGATCAATCTAATCTTATTACTAACCAAACGGACAGATCAATCTAACCTTATCACTAACCAACCGGACAGATCAATCTAATCTTATCACTAACCAACCGGACAGATCAATCTAATCTTATCACTAACCAACTGGACAGATCAATCTAATCTTATCACTTCCTAACTGGCCAGCTCAATCTCAATGTTACCTGTTGCAGTTTCTCCTTCTCCAGCTTGATCATCGAGTCCACAGAATTCCTGGCCTCCAGGAACGCCCTCCTGTGCACAATCTCAGACAAGAACTTGTGGCTCAGGCCCATCAGGTTGGCACACACCAGAACCAGAAATGTGCACACAAGCTGTTGGATTCAACATAAAGTGTAAACAACATAAAACAGTGACTGGCATCTTTTATGAACATATCGTTATTAATGGCAAATACCTCATGAAATAACATCACCAATGGTAACATCACCAACAGTAACATCACCAATGACAACATCACCAATGACAACATCACCAATGGCAACTTCTGTCAGGAAAGTAAAGTTTAATATTTTAACGATATTTGCAGTTAAATAACAAAATAAATACAATTTTGACACACTACAATGTGATGCCATTATTCTGACCTTGGCATTTTCAAGTCAACATTGAACATTTGATTCCTGTGTTTCTTTAAAAAGATTTTTAAATGTGAGCCCCTGACCATATCCACTGACCATATCCACTGACCATATCCCCTGACCATATCCACTGACCATATCCACTGATCATATCCACTGACCATATCGACTGACCATATCCACTGATCATATCCACTGACCATATCCACTGACCATATCCACTGACCATATTCACTGACCATATCCACTGACCATATCCACTGACCATATCCACTGACCATATCCACTGACCATATCCACTGACCAAATTTACTGACCATATCCACTGACCATATCCACTGACCATATCCACTGACCATATCCACTGACCATATCCACTGACCATATCCACTGACCATATCCACTGACCATATCCACTGACCATATCCACTGACCATATCCACTGATTGCTAAATGTCTTCTATTACCTCCTTGCCCAGATCAGGGGCATTTCTCGTTGTCGCTAATATTGGACCAACTGTGATGACGTGGAGCACAGTTATGGCGGAGCCTGAGATTAGCATCCACTTCCTGGACAAAGGTAGGACCATGTAGGATACAACGCTGCAGGACAGAGGATGGTTGGATGACATATTGGATACAATGCTGTGGGACATAGTAGGCCTACAGCATGAATGTTGGTATGTTAAATGTTGGATACAAAGCTGTATGACAGCACTGTTGGATTAAATGTTGGATGCAATGTGGTATGACAGAAAACAGTTGAATTTAATGTTTGATACAATGCTTTATGACAGAGGACATTTGGATTAAATGTTGGATACAAATAATCTGTATGATAGATGGCAGTTGAATTAAATGTTGGATACAATGTGATATGACAGAGGACACTTGAATTAAATGTGGAATACAATTCTGTATGACAGCATTGTTGGATTAAATGTTGGATACAATTCTGTATGACAGATGACAGTTGGATTAAAATCAAAGCATGTGATTAAAGTTCAAGTTCAAAGTATCAAATTTCCTTTGAATCAATGAGGTAACAAGCCAATGAGGTAACAAGCCAGTGAGGTAACAAGCCAGTGAGGTAACAAGCCTTCTCTTAGTTAGCATCAACAGTCTTGTGTTTTTAAATACCAGATTAGTTCCTTGTCTCTTGCTGTCAAATCAATATTGGCCAGGAACTATTTCCATGCAGGCCGTGAGGGGCCTCCAAGTCAGACACCCCCACAAATCTCTGTGGTTTGCTTCCTTGGAGAAAATAACAATTTTCTTCACTTCTATACTCACATTGTGTAAAACAAGACGGGGACATCTGAGGTGGGCGACCGCTCTTCGGGTGCACTGAAAGCAAAGTAAACGTTGACGGAGATGGTGGTTCCTATGACGATGAACATGGCCAGACCGGTGGGGTGGGCCAGGAAAGACTGCTGGGCGGCGAAGACGACGATGAGAAGCAGAGTGAGGAAGTAGACGAAGCTGATGCAAAGATTGACAACTTGTCCAATGTAGTGAATGTTAGGACTGGCCTGCATGTGACAGAAAAAAAGGGTGGGGGGGGGGGAATAGATGCAATAAGTCAAAGTGATTTTTATTTAATGCATCGATGCTATTTGCATTAGCTTCCAAGTCTGCCATAAGTGGTCAGTCTGTCAGAAGAGCTCAGTCTGCCAGAAAAGCCAAGTCTATCAGAAGAGCCCAGTCTGTCATATAAGCCCAGCCTGTAAGAAGAGGCCAGTATGTCAGATAAGCCCAGTCTGTCAGAAGAGGCCAGTCTGTCAGAAGTGCCCAGTCTGACAGAAGAGGCCAGTATGTCAGAAGAGCCCAGTCTGTCAGAAGAGACCAGTCTGCCAGAAAAGCCAAGTCTGTCAGAAAAGCACAGTTTGTCAGAAGAGCCCAGTCTGTCAGAAGAGCACAGTCTGTCAGAAGAGACCAATCTGTCAGTAGAGCACAGTCTGTCAGAAGAGGCCAGTCTGGCAGAAGAGCACAGTCTGTCAGAAGAGGCCAGTCTGTCAGACGAGGCCAGTCTGTCAGAAGAGGCCAGTCTGTCAGAAGAGGCCAGTCTGTCAGAAGAGAACAGTATGTCAGAAGAGTCTAGTTTCCAATGGGAGCCCAGTCTTTCAGAAGAGATCAGTCTGTCTGAAGAGCCGTCTGTCAGAAGAGCCCCGTCTGTCAGAAGAGCCCAATCTGTTGCAAGAGCCCAGTCTGCCAGAAAAGCCAAGTCTATCATAAGAGCCCAGTCTGTCATATAAGCCCAGCCTGTCAGAAGAGGCCAGTATGTCATATAAGCCCAGTCTGTCAGAAGAGGCCAGTCTGTCAGAAGAGCACAGTCTGTCAGAAGAGCCCCGTCTGTCAGAAGAGCCCAGTCTGTCGCAAGAGCCCAGTCTGCCAGAAGAGCCCAGTCTATCAGAAGAGGCCAGTCTGTCATATAAGCCCAGCCTGTCAGAAGAGGCCAGTATGTCATATAAGCCCAGTCTGTCAGAAGAGGCCAGTCTGTCAGAAGAGTACAGTCCGTCAGAAGAGCCCCGTCTGTCAGAAGAGCCCAGTCTGTCGCAAGAGCCCAGTCTGTCACAAGAGCCCAGTCTGTCAGAAGAGGCAGTGTATGTATCATACAAGCACTGGCTGTATCATATGAGCAGTTTATGCATCATACCAGCTTTATATATATATATATATATATATATATATATATATATATATATATATATATATATATATATATATATATGTGTGTGTGTGTATATCTCTTATGAGCACCGAATGTAGCATAAGTAGCTAGATGTATATCTCTTTCAACAAAGTTAGCGCTCCGTAGAATTTATGTATAGATTTACACACACACCAGCACACGTTCAACAACTTGAGTGGACAGGGTCTCACATTGCCACTACACAGTCCCACACTACAAGGTCACACACCAGCACACGTTCAACAACTTGAGTGGACAGGGTCTCACATTGCCGCTACACAGTCCCACACTACAAGGTCACACACCAAAACAGTCCCACACTACAAGGTCACACACCAAACGGCCCCACACTACACGGCCCCACTTGAAAGCTGAGATGTTCCATGCTGTTTTGATGAACTAACCAACACTCAACAGTTGGACGACACTCAACAGTTGGACGACACTCAACTGTTCGACGACACTCAACTGTTCGACGACACTCAATAGTTGGACATCTCCCTACTAGTGTTTCATCAAAAAGATCATGATGTTTTTCTTTAATTACAAGTCTGAGATTGTCACAAACTGTCGCTATACGCCACGACCGGTCAAATCTAGTCACTGAGCTCAATTAGTAAGCTCCGTGGATCTATTTCACAGGTCCTCACTCATTTTAAACGCGCGACCCCATTTATATGGAAGCAAAGCTACAACCGCGATGAATTGAAGAAATCTTTTAATGGCGTAAAGTGGGGTACATGAAAGCACACCAAATCTTTCTTTTTTTTTTTTAATATAACATACGTTTTAATTAACACCATGTTTCAATTACAATGATTAAACTTGCCATTCAAACTTTGAGACACCAATCAAAAGACTGTTGAAAAGTCACAATGTTTTTTCTCAGTTTAATCTTTTCTGATGTCGACCTCCCAGAAACTCAACAGCAACGATATAACAAAAATTAAGGTCTTTCTCAACGTAGTGGGGAAAATTGTTCTTGATTATACCTTGGTGTTCCTGTGCTAGGCAGTACCTATGGCAGACAGTTCCTGTGCCAGGCAGTACCGGTGGCAGACAGTTCCTGTGCCAGGTAGTACCTATGGCAGACAGTTAATGTGCCAGGTAGTACCTATGGCCGACATTTCATGTGCCAGGTAGTACCTATGGCAGACAGTTCCTGTGCCAGGTAGTACCTATGGCAGACAGTTCCTGTGCCAGGTAGTACCTATGGCAGACAGTTCCTGTGCCAGGTAGTACCTATGGCAGACAGTTCCTGTGCCAGGCAGTACCGGTGGCAGACAGTTCATGTGCCAGGTAGTACCTATGGCAGACAGTTCCTGTGCCAGGTAGTACCTATGGCAGACAGTTCATGTGCCAGGCAGTACCTATGACAGACAGTTGCTGTGCCAGGCAGTTCCTGTGGCAGACAGTTGCTGTGCCAGGTGGGACCTATGGCAGACAGTTTACTTATGGCAGACAGTTCCTGTGCCAGGCAGTACTTGTGGCAGACAGTTCGTGTGCCAGGTAGTACCTATGGCAGACAGTTCCTGTGCCAGGTAGTACCTATGGCAGACAGTTCATGTGCCAGGTAGTACCTATGACAGACAGTTCCTATGCCAGGCAGTTCCGGTGGCAGACAGTTCCTGTGCCAGGTAGTACCTATGGCAGACAGTTCCTGTGCCAGGTAGTACCTATGACAGACAGTTCCTGTGTCAGGCAGTACCTATGGCAGACAGTTCCTGTGCCAGGCAGTACCTGTGGCAGACAGTTCCTGTGTCTGGCAGTACCTGTGGCAGACAGGTTAAAAGTTTAAAGTGTTAAGTGTTTGTCTATAGGTGCTCTTATGGGCCTGCCTGCTGCGCAACAGCCATGTTATGAGCTTGTTATCTTTTACTAGGGCTTAGCAGGGAAAATAAGGCAACTTTTAGCAAGTGCATACAGGCAGGAGGGCCCTAAAAATTGCGGGGCCCTATGCGAAACGGATTGCGTGGGGCCCAGTATGGGTAGGGATAAGAATAATAAGTGAAAATTAAGATTTTGTATTAGAAAATAAATTCGTCTTTGCATTTTATTCATTCTTTACTAAGTACAAAATCACGATCAAAGTAACTTTACTTTACGAGCCTTGCGTGTAGCAAAGTCATACAGTATTTCATCAAAATATCATTTCATTTAATAATTTACACCTAGAATTAGCGCGGGGCCTATGAAAGTGCGGGGCCCACTGGGGGCCCATAGGTTGCAGTGGCTTAAGGCCGGCCCTGCATACAGGCGACCTTGATGGTGTTGTGCATGGTACAGTACACATTCAAATAGAGGTTGTACATAATAAAGTACACATTCTCATACGGACATGGATGAGGACATGGATGATGTGTTTCGGTGAACACATACTTTGCAAAAATGTCAGTGGTTACTTGGTTATTGTGACATTCTGTTGTATGCAGTTATCTGCTCATGTAATCCAGGTCAATATCTGTGTGACTTCTGGCAACATGGGACATTTTAATTTTATTTGACCATGTGTCTTCACACAATGTATTAGGGCACTTAAATCTTGCCTGACCATGGGCGACTGTTATAGTGAGTAAAACAGCAACTACAGAGCTAACACAGCCAGGAGAGTGCCCTGGCAGGGTACTATGTCACTTACCTTGCCATGGGTAGCTGTTACAATGAGTAGAATGAATGAGCCCAGGGCCAGCACAGCCAGGTATATAACAACCAGTGGGTATTTGTTTCTGACTGTGTAAGTCTTGTAAAGTTGCTCCAGGTCAAGGTCATTGAACGAACCCTGAAGAAATAAAATAGAAAAATACACGTCATCAAAGGTTTATCCAAATCAACATGAAATGGAGAGGGGCTCAATATCATAGGCGTGTGCCCAACATGACTGGCCTGCACAATAATGACAGAGTTGACACACATATAACTGACTCGACATACATGACATATCCAACACTCATGATGGGCGACCGTGTGACATTGATGTCAATAAATCAAAATTAATCCCCCAAAGATGTTTTGATTTGCTTACTTTAATCTGTGGCGGCCCGGAAAGAGGGGGTGGGGGGTGTGGGGGGGTGGTGGAGAATGGTAGCTGGGAAGGGTAGCGGGGTGGGGTAAGTAAAATATTCCATTAATTTGTGTGAGTCTTTCAATGAGCCAAATATTTGTTGAACCTTAGGGCAGCACACCAACTTCATTCTCCAATCACTGATTTAATCTAAGGATGTTTGAGAACATCCGGGTTTAACAGGTTTCCTTTTGTCTTTGAAACAACGTAGGAAATGATTGATACAACGTAGGAAATGATTGATACAACGTAGGAAATGATTGATACAACGTAGGAAATGATTGATACAACGTAGGAAATGATTGATACAATGTAGGAAATGATTGAAACAACGTAGGAAATGATTGATACAATGTAGGAAATGATTGAAACAACGTAAGAAATGATTGATACAATGTAGGAAATGATTGAAACAACGTAGGAAATGATTGATACAATGTAGGAAATGATTGAAACAACGTAGAAAATGATTGAAACAACGTAGAAAATGATTGATACAACGTAGGAAATGATTGATACAATGTAGGAAATGATTGAAACAACGTAGGAAATGATTGATACAATGTAGGAAATGATTGAAACAACCTAGAAAATGATTGAAAAAACGTAGGAAATGATTGAAACAACGTAGGAAATGATTGATACAACGTAGGAAATGATTGATACAATGTAGGAAATGATTGAAACAATGTAGAAAATGATTGAAACAACGTAGGAAATGATTGAAACAACGTAGGAAATGATTGATACAACGTAGGAAATGATTGATACAATGTAGGAAATGATTGAAACAATGTAGGAAATGATTGAAACAACGTAGAAAATGATTGAAACAACGTAGGAAATGATTGAAACAATGTAGGAGATGATTAAACAACATAGGGAATCATTGAAACAACGTAGAAAACAACGCCACTGTACTGTTTAATGTTAAGAAAGAAATATCCATTTAGTGACGTCATTGATTGCCTAGGTTCTGTGTAATTGAGGACTTTCTATTTTTAAAATTAAAATCCCAACTTAAGGGTAGTGACATGACAGCTGTCCTATGAATCAAATAATTCACATGATATATTTCGGAACATGACAGCATCCTGCAGATATGATGTGAGCCACACCCCCCCCCAACCTCAGTGCTGTTCAAGGTCATTGATCTGACCCTGAGATGTTCTCACCTTGACCCTTTTCAGGGATAACGTCTTGTCTTGTTTGACGCCGGCCGAGTATCTGTCCTCACCGCCGACATTGTGGAACAGGGTGATTTGGCTGCTGATGCTGGACAGCCGCTGTTCATGTGCGACCACCGTCGGGCGCCGGAGGATAGGGGTCAGGGGCGGTGAGTCGCCTTGACCCGAGGACAAGGTCAAGACGCTGCTGCCGTTGCTGTCTTTGTTCCCGCGGTTGTTGTTGTAGCATTCCGAACCGTCCGCGGTGTCCCCACGGGCGTGCTCAGGCGTCTGGACGTCAACAGGCACGTCATTCGGCTGGGCTGGGGACTGGGGGCCGTGGTCGGCCTTTTTTCGGAACGTGCGTCGCGTGGGGTTCAGGAGCGCCCCGGGGAGCGGGACCGCTTGACCATCCTCGAAGACGATGCTGCGTCCGCCGTTGGCGACAGAAAGGGCAATCTGTGCCATGACGTCATGCTAACTCTTCATCTGTGGAGTGTTCAGGAAAAAACAATTGTCAGAGCTAGTGTAAGGATTTCTTTTAAACACCATCTTCAATGAAGAAATTTCTATTTATTGTTCAGAAAACAAAGGGCAATTTACCTAGTGTAAAGATTAGTGATCTCACCAGTGTAAAGATAAGTGATCTCACCAGTGTTAAGATGAGTCATTTCACCAGTCAAAGATAAGGCATCTCACCAATTTAAAGATAAGCTATCTCAACAGTGTAAAGATAAGTGATCTCACCAATGTAAAGATAAGGCATCTCACCAGTGTAAAGATAAGTGATCTCCCCAGTGTAAAGATAAGTGATCTCCCCAGTGTAAAGATAAGGGATCTCACCAGTGTAAAGATAAGTGATATCACAAGTGTAAAGAGAAGTGATCTCCCCAGTGTAAAGATAAGTGATATCACCAGTGTAAAGATAAGTGATCAATCCAGTGTTGATAAACCTTGTTTTGTTTTTTGCTTGCATTCAAAATTTAACAGACTATTCACGATTGTGCCCCCCTCCCCTACTTCCATGTTTAGTATAAAAACCTGCCCTTTAAATAAATTATATATATAAAGTCCTATTTTAACATTTTCGTGGCCCCAAAGTAATTTGACGTGGCCCCTGGGGTGGCCCCCTAGGCCTCTAGGATAGCCCTAGGATGCCTCCTAGAAAGGCCATTATGATGGCCCTAAGAGTGGCCCCTAGGATGGCCACTAGGATGGCCCCTAGGATGGCCACTAGGATATCCCATAGGATTGCCTCTAGGATGGCCCATAGTATGGCCACTAGGATGGCCCCTAGGATGGCCACTAGGATATCCCCTAGGATTGCCTCTAGGATGGCCCATAGTATGGCCAGTAGGATGGCCCCTAGGATGGCCACTAGGATATCCCCTAGGATTGCCTCTAGGATGGCCCATAGTATGGCCACTAGGATGGCCCCTAGGATGGCCACTAAGATATCCCCTAGGATTGCCTCTGGGATGGCCCATAGTATGGCCACTAGGATGGCCACTAGGATATCCCCTAGGATTGCCTCTAGGATGGCCCATAGTATGGCCACTAGGATGGCCCATAGTATGGCCACTAGGATATCCCCTAGGATTGCCTCTAGGATGGCCCCTAGGATGGCCACTAGGATATCCCCTAGGATTGCCTCTAGGATAGCCCATAGTATGGCCACTAGGATGGCCCATAGTATGGCCACTAGGATGGCCCATAGTATGGCCACTAGGATGGCCATGTTGCCCACGTTGAAAAATGCTCATCTAAACTAATATTTTATTTTAATTAAATTTTCATTTGAGTCTAAAACTAAACAAAAATAATAAAACAAGTCCACAGTAGTTACAACGTTTGCACACTTTAGAAAATAGCATTCAATGAATTTTAAACCAGGACAATATTCATGTAAGAAGTTTTAAACGTATTTCCAAAGACGTGACCTTAAAAACCCATTCCCTCTTTCTATAATGCTGATATCTCTATAAGACATGACCATAAAAGTCATTCTCTCTTTTTTATAATGTCTAATCGGGTTATTGTCCCAAAGACTAAGTTACACCGGTGACAGGTTTCACTGGTAAAACAATGAACGGACCATTTAATGAGACCTGTAACTGTATCATCACGACAAAGAAAGTAAATAACAGCTTCATTAAAAAACATAATGACCAAATAAAGAAAGAAATATTTAGCGAAATAAGCCCACCTTTAGATGGTTTACAAAAATCAATATTTAGGCTCATTATAATACATATATCTTCAATAGAATCAAGTTATCATCAACAATAGAATACAGTTACCATTAAAAATATAATCCAGTTATCATCAACAATAGAATCCATTTATTGTCAGCAAGATAATCCAGTTATCATCAGTAATATAATCCAGTTAACATCAACAAAATATTCCAGTTATCATCGACAATGTAGGCCAGTTATCAACAATATAATCCAGTTACTATTAACACTATTATCCAGTTATCATCAACAGTATAATCCGTCTTTTGTCCAAAGATAAGGCGACATCCAGTGACGAACCGACAAGACAGAATGATTTCTTAATATGTCCTGCTTGACACACCCAAACTAACACGTGCTGAATGTGTCACACACGAGCCGAAGGATTCACTTCTCATTGACACACTACTCACTATCCTCTCGTTGACACGCTAGTGATTTACTCACCATCGTTACATCCTCATTGGAGAACACGAAGTTAAAAATAGACATGTATTGTACAACACTCACAGACCTGGACCTTAAAACACAACACATCCTCAGTTACATTTAGAGTAGCCAACCCTGGTCTCTAACACAACCCCCAACACAGCCATGGTTACATTTAGAGTAGCCGACCCTGGTCTCTAACACAACCCCCAACACAGCCATGGTTACATTTAGAGTAGCCAACCCTGGTCTCTAACACAACCCCCAACACAGCCATGGTTACATTTAGAGTAGCCAACCCTGGTCTCTAACACAACCCCAACACAGCCATGGTTACATTTAGAGTAGCCAACCCTGGTCTCTAACACAACCCCAACACAGCCATGGTTACATTTAGAGTAGCCAAACCTGGTCTCTAACACAACCCCTAACACAGCCATCGTTACATTTAGAGTAGCCAACCCTGGTCTCTAACACAACCCCAACACAGCCATGGTTACATTTAGAGTAGCCAACCCTGGTCTCTAACACAACCCCAACACAGCCATGGTTACATTTAGAGTAGCCAAACCTGGTCTCTAACACAACCCCTAACACAGCCATCGTTACATTTAGAGTAGCCAACCCTGGTCTCTAACACAACCCCAACACAGCCATGGTTACATTTAGAGTAGCCAACCCTGGTCTCTAACACAACCCCAACACAGCCATGGTTACATTTAGAGTAGCCAACCGTGGTCTCTAACACAACCCCCCAACACAGCAATGGTTACATTTGGAGTAGCCAAACCTGGTCTCTAACACAACCCCAAAACAGCCATGGTTACATTTAGAGAAGCCAACCCTGGTCTCTAACACAACTTATACATAGAGATGTATAGATGAGAGTGCTACAAAAGGTGATCATGATTGATGTCTAATGAACATGTTATAATGGGGCTGTCAGACTGGACCTATTGATGGGGGATATCACAGTAACTAGGACTGAACATATTGCTGTCACACTTTTGGATAGTGATGTCGCTGTCATGATTCACACCGTGGTGTGGCTCTCTCACGTCACACAGTGATGGGGCTATTACACTTACTATGGTTGTGTGGATGTCGTCATGGAAATATAATCTGGATGGGTCGGTGGTCTATTTATTTAAGACTAGACCAAAGTGATTTGTTAGTGAGACTAGGCCAAAGTGCTTTGTCTGTGAGACTAAGCCAAAGTGATTAGTCTGTTAGACTAGGCCAAGGGGATTTGTCGGTGAGACTAGGCCAAGGGGATTTTGTCGGTGAGACTAGGTCAAGGGGATTTGTCGGTGAGACTAGGCCAAGGGGATTTGTCGGTGAGACTAGGCCAAAGAGATTTGTCGGTGAGACTTGGCCACAGTTATTTGGTAGTGAGACTAGTACAAATTGATTTGACTATGAGACTAGGCCAAATTTGATGTTTTAGTGAGACTGACCAAGGTGATTAGTCTGTGATACTAGACCAAAGTGAGTTGTCTGTCAGACTAGTCCAAGGTGATTTGTCTGTAAGACTTGGCCAAGGTGATTTTTCTGTGAGACTAGGCCAGTGATCGGAAAATCGTGGCTCATCAGTGTCCTGAGTGCGTCTGTGCCAAAAATCGGATTTGACTCCGAAAAACATGTTTCTTAGAAAGAAATTTGTTTTAATCGCCCTGCTACTGATTGTTGGCTCTTTTGACTAATGCGTTAGCCGACCACTGGACTAGGCCAAAGCGATAACTCTGTGTGCTTTAATAAAAATATTTGTTTCATGATGATATTTAACCACGGTATTCCCCTCTTTCGCAAGACTTGAATTTTATGACGTGAATACAACACCGACTGATGCAAGGGAAACCATCCTTGTTTTCGGATTCTCCTGTTCAGTGTGTAGATGGTAGATGACGATAAGAGTTCTGTCCCATGTTTTGACTCCCCACACACCAGGCTACGCTGTCGGTAACTATCTACTTAATAAAAATATTTGACCTACATGACGAAATCTTTACATATGTGTGTACACATATATAAACATTTGTGTACACAGATATAAACCTTTGTGTATTTCCTTTCACAGGAGCTGACGACAAGGTCCTACTAGCAGTCGATCAGATGAACATAGTGAAACATGGTCCTATCAGGGAATAGTAAGTTATCAGGAAGCGAGCCCTTGAGTTAGCCTCGTTGTGAATACGGTATGAGTCATGCGACCCTTAACGTGAGTGGAAGCACAGCATAGTGTCATTGACGCTTTCAAACATAGGCACAACACAGTGTCATTCACGCTTTCAAACATAGACACAATACAGTGTCATGGACGCTTTCAAACATAGACACATCACAGTGTCATGGACGCGTTCAAACATAGACAAAACACAGTGTCATGGACGCTTTCAAACATAGACACAACACAGTGTCATGGACGCTTTCAAACATAGACACATCATTTTTTTAAAAATACGTTTTTCACATAGAAGAGTGGTACTTTATTGTTTATAATCAAAATCAAGGATTATTTATTGTCATTTGAAGCATTATTTTAATGATTTTCTCCACAATTTTTTTTCTACT